TGAATTTGTCAAGATGCGCGGTAAGGATTCCCTGTCAGTTCTGATTTTATCATAATTTTTACTCTTGATCCTAATTTCTCATCAACCGTATCAATCTACTGCCCACTCGTCTCACTCGAGTGAGACCTTTAAAGGTCTTATATCCTAATATTAAACCTTTGTTTATCACGTATTTTGATTATAACTATTTTATTCATGAGAGAAATAGATCTTATATATTAAGCATTCCATTCCATTGGTTTTGCCAGAAAATACTTAAGATATTCAAGATATATTCTGTTTTCCAAAACTAAGATACGGTTTAATTTCCTCGCTTATCAGGTTGGCGTTACGTTATTTGGAAATTTTCGGTATTGAATCATGATTCGATTTGAATGATATCAATGCTGCGGTGTATTTGGCGGGAATTGATTTCATAATCATAAATCAAGTTAGACGAAGGCTGTTCACCATTGACACAAGGATTTTGTTGGGAAATGTGGAAAAAATGTCCCCCTTAATCGAGTTTAACCTTTGTTTTTAAGCCTTGCACAACTAGATATATTATATATAAGTGGGCGGAACAATATTTATATATCGCACGCGCCCGCACGTGCTCTTTTACTAGCGGGCTGCGCGGGCCCGCTGTAGCAAAAAGAGTCCGCTGGTGGATATTGTTAAGTGGACGGTTCTACTTACTAATCTTTTAAGACCTTTTGTCATTTGTGTACCGTACGACCACAGAATAATGGCTTAGTACCGTTTTTGCTGTTTCGTCACACACCTTTCTTTTTATCTTAGAATAACATCTCTCAGCTATAGTTTGTACTATAAAAAGATTATATTCATTGCAGCTAACTTAACGTTAAATGGCCTCAGATCGACAGATCCAGGTCTCAATTTAGAATAGTCCGATGGATCGCATATTTATGTAACGCGCGGTCTTATTTTCTTTATGAAAATATTACATCTGACCCGTTTACTGTATCAGAAAGTATTGCTTCGATCGCGCGTGATTTAGGAAACAAATAAATGTGAAACTTTTACCCGAGCCCTGTCCATTTGAAGCTTAATTAGATAAATGAATTTCGTGTGATATTACATTCAAAATCCTCATATGAAATGGTCCGGGATTTCCAGGTCCTTCCGTCTAAATTGTCACTGTTCCCGGGGCTCGTTTCTAGAACGCGCATTCAAGTATCTCTGATTCTCTAGCTTATGGACCCACTTACAATTAATCAACCTTGATTTGCTTGTGCTTCAAATAACTGTCTTTATGTTGTCACAGTAGCACTACTGTGAAAAGATAAAGACAGATTGTCCTCATTCATGCTTTAACGATATCTTTCTCTACTGCCATTTTCAACCCTGGCATCAGTGGAACGAAAAACTCAATTTAGGTTTAGTGTTTATTTGTTCACCATGAAATTATTGCTGAGCAAGTGACTGTATCAAATTCACTGACAACTAATCCTGCTATTTCAGATAATGGGGACACCTACACCACAAACCTGGCCCAATTGTACCAAGTATTCTGACTGGGGTAAACGTAAGTCAACTTTATTATCTTAAAATGTGTAGTGACTCCACTCAAGAGCGATATTGAATTTAAAGTGGTAACCGAGGTAACCATATTAAATTACCCACAATTTTTGCAGGAAAGTACGAGAAATATCCTAAGCAACGATTTATAGATGTTATCGCCAAGTAAGTACTGAATGATGTTTGAATTGGCTTCATAATAATCGAGTTAACTAAGTGAACTATACAAATGTTCGGCAAATAACAACAATTTATTAAACTGGTTTGACCTTAATTTTTTGAATTGGAAGACTGTATCAATTACAAACGATACTCCCAGATAGAGTTGGCGCTCAAGATCACTTCATGTGATCTTCAAGATCACTGATCTTGATTATGTTATTTAGATTATAGAAAGTCAAGGTAGCTTAAAAGCATTATTTCAACCCTAAACCATTTCACTTTTCAGTCTCTCAGACGATCTTGATGGTGAAGATTTGTTGTCCCAGATGTTAGTGTTTGAACCCAGTGAGCGTATAGCCGCGTCTGTGTCTCTAAAACACCGTTATTTCGGAGTTCTGCCTGAAGCTGTGCATCACCTTCTACCAAGTGAGTTTACTTTCTTGTCCTAGTCAGTAGGGTATAGATAAGGGTTCTGGATAGTTGTCCTAGTCGATTGGTATCTTGCGGTTGAGTTGAAGTATCTGCCTGAATCCCTTAACGTACGTAACCAGTTACGATTGGTTCAGGGAAATTTTTTTAAAATTGTTATTTTTTATTTTCTGAAAATCTAACAATACATATTTTTAGTTGAGTCGATATATCTCAACGAGCTTGTTGAGTTTCCTGGATAGTAGACCGCCCGACTAGGATCATAGATTCAGACGTTACTACCGACCAATGGGACCCCCCACCTCTGTCCCCACAGGATAGAAACCGGACTGATGAATGAACGCTGTGACGACGATTTTAACTGCATTCACTGGACTGTGCTCATCGTGTAGGAAAATATTTAAATTGAAACTCTATGTCAGTGTTTGGCTGGTTGTTGTGATGTCGTATTTTTCAATAGGTAGGTATAGTTTTGATGTTTAGGATCTAGTACTATCGACTTATTGAATTAACCGGAATTTGTGTAAATACATTGAATATTTTATTGATTTGACAGTACTATTTATTATGAATCAAAATTCCGGGTGAGATTGGTAGCTTCCGTGGTTTTTTATGTAAAAAGTGATAATAATGACAATAACTTTATTGTTATCTTAACAAATCCGGATTTTAGATGAAGGTCATTGTAGACCAGAAAGATTTCTGGAGGCCTGATTTTAGACTAGATGTATTTGTTTGTTTATTTTTTCTTTTAGCAGAACGTTTGCTTATTAATGGGTGTCTTTTAGGTCGTCATTTTACTATTTTACGAGAGGAAGTGTTTGTGTTGTAAGCCTGTGTTAGGTTAACTGTTACTTAACTTTACTTTAAATAGTTTAATGGTGTCGTGCTGCTAGATGTTTTGTTTTTATTATATTATTAAAAATCTCATATCTTGTGAAGCTGAAGCGCTTTGAATAATTCGGAGAGAATCCCCTAGTAAAACTATTGTGTATACCCAGAAAATTTGTATTGAACGATCTAGATAGTCATCCACCTTGTGTAAATATTAATTCTAGAAAATAATAATGTCGTTAATTTTTATAACAGTTTTTAAAGTAGTCATAAATAGTAAATATCATCATTACGATTGTTGTTGTTACAGTTAAGCACTCAATCATTGTATTTAAGGAAATTAAATTGCCATGTAAAAGATAAATAAATTTCAATCGTGTGAAACATCTTATCGGTGTTAATTTTTCCGGCCCTTAGGGGTCGTTCACATATTGCGTAATCAGCCGAGGGGGAGGGGGGTTTCCAAATGATTACGCTAGTGTAATTTTGACTCAATAGCTATTTGTAAAACTGATTAATATGTGAACGACCCCCTAAATTTCAATTTTGAGAGGTTAGGGCCTGAATGCTTTGTTTATTACTATTGTTCAATGGCCATGTTTCATCTGTTAGCCGTTCATTGAAGTTCAGAATTCAAATGTCTCCGCTCTAAATTGGCTACGAAACATTGATGAGCTATTATAAACACTTTAATTAGGTTGAAAGAAGAAGATTAGGTTCATAATTTAGTATATTAACACCTTGCCGTTGACAGACCCAATGTTTCAATATGCGAAATTATTCGATAATAATATTCAATGTTATTTGTATTTTTCCTGTGAATAATGTGATTAAGAATGAAATAAGAATTTCTGATTTCTTTAATTCGAAGTCTAACGTAATTGTTATTAATAATTGCAAAGCGGCTGTGGGAACTGTTAATGTTATTTCATATCTAAGACTAAACGCTAAAGGAATTGCCTTACCCATACTTGACCCGGACGTCAAGCATATATTATGATACTAGTGTAACACGGCCTTCGGCAGGGATTTCACTGCCGCAGTTAAAAAAGGTAGGAGTATTTACTATTTACCCGTTGTGTCAAAACCCGCATTAGGTGAGCAATTCTATTCGGAGTGCCCTCACAAACCAGGGCAACAAATAACCGTTAAAAGGCCATTTTCCGAAGTTAAAAAGTTCCGGTATCTAGGTTAAATACGGAGTGTTATAAAGTTGTTGTACTCTATAAGTGTATATTCACCTACAAGCATAACTGCTTGGCGTGATGAGGTACATCTTTGATTGGTCGAAGGTCTTTCAACAACACAGCATCATCACTTTCATAGTAGTCCCCGGCTTATGACGGGTTCATAGCGGTATTAAACATGTTTTTCTGGGCCCAAACATTCTACGCTCCTACTATGCTATTACTGGTCTCTTGACTAACTCCCAATCATCTGTCCATATGGTAGTGTTTCTGGACAAATAGATGGTATACGATGCCCTCAGGCTGATCTCAGCGATCTTCATGCAGGCCTTCTTCTTCTCTTTGTTGTTTACGTTCAGGTGGTTCATAAAGGTTGGGAGGCTATAGTTGTAAATGCCTCGAGCTCCCACTTCTACTGTCTGGAGCTTGCAAGCCCATCCGTTGGCTTCTATCTCTTCTGTCAGCTGCTGATATCTCTTCATCTTTCGCTTCTCTTGATCAGCAAAGTTCTGCTCATTTCCACAAGTCAGCTCCATTAGATAAACCTTCTTTGCTTTATCTGAATAGATCACTACATCAGGTCTTAGTGGTGTAGCTACAATGTGCTGCGGGAAGTTCCTCTGTCTCTCATCCTCATCAAATATTATCTTCCAGTCGTTGGCATCTGAAAAGAAATATCTTTGGGTCTTATGATGAGTTGGGTCAGCTAAGGTAACCTTCTCGCGCTTATTGCCTGCCTTGTGAAAGACCGACGGTGCCCTCTTCGATTCCTTGGCGATGTCGGAATTAAACTCGTCAATCTGTGATGAAACAGTCTTCATGATTTCACGTAGGACCTGATCATGGCGCCAGTTGAAACGTCCCTATCTTAGTGCAACCTTGCAGAACGTGAGGATATGATCGAGTGTCCCTTGTTTGCTGCAGAGTTTACAGTTTCCTGAAACGGCTTTATTCCAAAGCTTTAGGTTGCTAGGTGTTGACGCAGTGTCATGGATAGCATTGACATGAAACTTTAACAGTTCCGGACTAAGTTGATAGATCAGGTTATTCCACGTGGTGTCGAATGTCATTGTATTTTCCCATGTGAGAAAGAGGTTTTGCCGCTTTTTGTCAAAAAGTGAACAAATAAGTGTCTCTTCATCAAAGGTCCTCACCATGTTGGTTAGCAGTTTCCTCTCTGATGTGTCCTCATATCTTGTCCCATACCCGAGGCCAGTTGTACCAACTGCAGGTTTTCCAACTAACTCTTGGAAGTAAAGTTGGCGCTGACGGTCTTTCAGCTCTTTGGGATAAGACCACATCTTCTGTGTGTCTGCAATAGCCTTATGGTTAGAGTACACTTTTTTGATGTAGGGGTCACTAGAGTTACAAAGTTGGTGACCCTTAATAAGTTGGATGACTTTGTACTCAGTGCAGATGTTTTTCAGCTGCAATCCTTTCTGGTCTCTACTCCTGTAGAGGACGGTGGTGGTGCAAGGATGCGCAATCCCTAGCCACTTCTTAAGGTATCTGTTACACAGTGCCTCAAGCTCTCTCACAAATGTGATGGGTAGGTTATAAACAGTAAACCCCCATGACATCTTACTAATGATGAGGTGGTTATACACCCACGCCTTCATTGGACCGGTGATTTCATCATTAGACGTTGTTTCCAAAAGGTCCTCTAACTTCTTCTTGATCATGGACCGAATCCTTCACCTCAAGATCTACATACATGTACATTCCTAGGAACTTCATTGGTGCTTGGATAATGGACGGCACCTGTTGTTCGCTTAGTACAAACTCTGCATCATAGGTATTGTACTTTCCTCCAGTACACTTCATAGACATAGACAGGCACTTCGATGGTTTAGCCTTCATTTTCTTCGACCAGTCCAGGAACTCTTCTACTACCTTTAACATCTTCTTCATCTCCTTCTCGCTCTTCGACAACAGGGTTAGGTCATCAGCAAATGCTTTCTTTGAGGTCTTGCTATCACTAAAGCTTGGCTCATACCCAACTTGACTGCACAGTACAGCTAGAAGTTCCAGTAGGATGTTGAATACTATAAGGAATAGTTTTAATAATAGTTTAAATAAAAGGGTCCGAAACATAATTTGGTCCAAAAGATAGTATGTACTTGGTAATCATTACCGTAACACTTAATGTCAGGAATTGTATCAGGTCGACCTGAGGTCGTGACCCCCATTAGAACAATCTCGAAAATCGACTGTAGAGTGATTTAGCACGCTCGCGATATTTGATGGTGCGCGACTTTTGGAACAAAAGCAGTTGTAAAAGTTGACCATTGTTAATGATCAGGCCCGGCGCGCGCTACTTCGTAGCACTTGCCATTTCGAGAAGAAAGCGGCGCGCGCTACTTCGAAGAAATTTAGACGAGTAACATCGTCAATTGTAAAAGTTGCGTATTTTGGCGTAATTCGTTGATTTTTGTCGTATTATTCTGTCATATCTTCGGTTCCTTGACACTTGAATGAGATCATTCTGAAAATTAGTGAAGACCTTCCAATAGGGCTTTCACAACTGTCCGAAAAATTTAATGGATATCGGAGTTGATATAATAATGAAAATGGGGCAAAATACGCTGCTTTTATGTTTTAGCTGTAACATAATGTTTGATTGTTGGATATGTTTTAAATTTTTCGGACACTTTCCTTGTAAGTTTATAAGTAAGCTAACCAATTTTTGTTAAAATTTGATCAAGGGAAGGTTACTCAATACGCATTTGTTTCAAGAATTTTGTGCTGGCCGAAATTAGCGCTAAAAAACCATCCTACAGTCGGCACGCGCGGCTCACTGTCGATGGCGCACTTATATACCTACTTGTTCATTGTACATTTAATGAACCCTTGTCATACGTTGTATGACCCGCCGCGCACGAGTGCACGGCTCCCCTATTTTTTTAATTTTTTTATTAAATACTTTTCAAATTTTACAAAGTACAGCAATAGATGAATATAAAATAGAATCGTTCAAAATATCGCCCCCATCTGTAAAATATGATGGGCACCCAAACACGGTAAACACATAGTGAACTATGTCCGCAGTAACTTGGACCCATTACATCGAATTAATCTAAATCCAAAAATTTATGAAAAACTATTTAATAACAAACAAATCCATGGTGAATAACTGTGGATATAGAGTCAAAATTGGTATTTCAATACGTCAAATTCCAGATACATTAGATACAGGTCTGATATGGTCATTAATGTGTGAGGTGTGCGGGTGAAGTGTGATATGATGTTGAAAGTATAGGAAGGTAGATACAAAAATTAATAAAACAAAAATAATAATAATATGGGGAGCAAAGAGACTAGGCTAGGCTGTTGTTTCACTATCCAATAAACATTTCCATAGATGCTCAGTGACCTCAGCTTTGAAAACACTTGTAGACACAATCTGTCTTACCTGTAAAGGGAGTCCATTCCACAGTATATGAGTTCTGTAGAAAAATGATTTTGCCAGTGGGCTATTTGAGGTACATAAGGTGTGTGAATTCTGACTTAACTTAGGTAAAATTGATGACACAATAGACAGACTGTCGAGGTGGCAACGTCTTAGTCGAGAAGTGCCCTGATATAAAGTGAGATAGTGAGGCAGCCATACAGGAATTAAATTGTTCAGAACTTTGTGGAAAAAAATAAGATCATTCAAGTCAAACTTTTGAGACAAAGGGAGAATGTCGACAAGCTTGCACTTTTTGACATATTGCTCAGGTGGATAACTGCGGCCCTCTTCAGACAGAATCCATTTAATAGCTCTCTTTTGGAGACTTTCTAATTTATCACTAAGTGATTTATAACAAGGGCGCCAGATTATGGAACAATTTTCGAATTGGCTACGAACCAGGGAGAGGTAAAGCGCCCGGCGACGTTTCTGATCAATGACAATATGGCCATCTCTTCTGACCATACCAAGTTGTTGGCAGGCCTTAGTATAAATTCTGTCGCACTGACTATTCCAACTGAGCTTAGGAGTAACATCGACTCCAAGATCTTTTTCTAACTCTACATACACAAGAGGAGAGCCATCAAGATTATATGCGAATGGAGGAGATAAAGATGGTTTTCCTGAAACAATGAGCACTTTACATTTTGCTGGATGGAATCGCATTTTGTTTCTAAGTGCCCAGTCAGAGAGATAGTCTATATCCATTTGTAAATTGGTATTATCAGAAGATGAATGTATTTTACGCCAGATTTTTGTATCATCGGCATACAAAACAATATCAGTATTATCCGAAAGGCCAAGAGGAATATCATTGATAAACAATACAAAAAGTAAGGGACCAAGGATAGAGCCCTGGGGGACACCAGAATTAACTGAGAGGGTAGATGACATCTCATTACCAATAACCACTCTTTGGTAACGGCCTTGAAGGTAATTGGTAAGAAATTTGAGAAGTGTACCATCAATGTTATATAAGGTCTTTAGCTTATGAAGAAGGATATCATGATTTACAGAATCAAATGCCTTAGCAAAATCAAAATACACAACATGATTGATAATGTTTTCGTTAAGAGACAATGCCAGGCTATCACAAAAATCAACCATATTGGTTGTGCATGACTTGTGCTCTAGAAAACCATGCTGCCTGGGATCAAGAAGGGTACTTGTCAAAGAAAGCAGTTTACGTTTAACAATGCGCTCAAAAACTTTCATGACTAAACAAGTAAGGGATATTGGTCTATAGTTTTCAACCTCACTTTTCTTACCTTTCTTAAATATTGGGACAACATTTGCAAGTTTCCATTCTTGTGGAATGTAGCCGCTGTTGTAGGATCCACGAAAAATGCATGTTAGAGGGTAAGCTAAACCTACGGAACAATTTTTTAGAATTTTACCGTGTATGCCATCTGGTCCCTGGGCTTTATTTGAATTAATATTTGAAAGAAGCTTACGAACATCCCGATGATCGAAGTCAATATCAAAATCAACATCATTGACATAGGAGATGTCAGTGTCATAAAGTGAAGGATCCGAAAACTGGTTATAAAAGAAAGAATTGAAAAGTTCAGCTTGATCTTTGGGATTGAACCGAAGCTGTCCAGAATAACGGTCGGGCGCTACTGCAAACGTGAGCAGTGAGGGCTCTGGTTAAAGCAATGTCTACGCAATGTCTACTTTTTTTCCTTCAAAAGTTTTCCAAGTGATTTGTCTGTCACCGGGATCATTGTGAATACAGTCTCGACTGTCTGTTAAGCTATCAAAATCAAAACTGGATCAGGTGTACCAGGACATCTTTGAAGAAGATCCAGTTGCCAAGGTTAGAAGGGTCGAAGTGGCTGCATACAGATGCAAAAATAAAAAAAGTTGGAATGTCATGAATGAGATTACTGGCAGAAAGGAGGCAACTCAAATAAGGGGCAATGGAGCCGAAGATAGGAAGGAAAGTTGGCTTAGGCATTTCACAAATCTGTTAGGGAGTACACCTGATGTGGAAAACAAGCACCCTAGCATCGAGACTCAATTTGAAGGACTCAACATCAGTACAGAACCTTTTACTTTAGAGGAGCTTACAGCCACTAAACTCAGGATCAAAGAAGGTAAAGCACCAGATGGCGTTATACCACCTGAAGTCCTCAAAAGATGGGACCTAGATGAAATAGTGCTGACCTTCTGCAACAAAGCCCTGACAGATGGTATTGCGCCAAATCAGTGGAGGATAAGCAACATCATTCTGGTCCCCAAAAAGGGAGACTTGACAGACCCTGGAAACTGGAGGGCGATATCTTTGACTTCACTTGTGGCTAAGACTCTTAATAGAATGGTGCTTAATAGGATCCATCTGGCTTTAGAAGGGGTACTTAGGGACACTCAGAATGGTTTTCGGGAAGGACGGTCTACCACTAGTCATATCTTGGCACTCAAGGAGGATTTTAGAGGGGGCTAGACAGAGAAATCTACCGGCAGCTTTGGTGTTTGTTGATTTTAAGAAGCCCTTTGATTTACTTCACCGGGGAATTTTGTGAATACTAAAGGCTTATGGAATACCGGACAGTATTGTGTATATCATTAATCTACTCTATGTCAACACGAAGGGCAAAGATCCTGATACCATCAAGTCCCTGGGTAACAGCACAATAGAGCATGTGGAAGACTTCACTTACCTGGGTTCTAGAATCAGAGACAGTGAGAGTGATATCAGGGTTAGGAAAGGAAGAGCATGGGGATCATGCCACACACATTTAAAAAACTTTGGAATTCTAAGCTTAGGAGGTCTATCAAGATCAGAGTGTTTACAGCACTAGTCAAGTCGGTGCTTTTTTACGGTTCCAAGACTTGGACTATGACGAAAAGGCTAGAGAAGATGGTTGATGGTTGCTATACGCGAATGTTAAGAATGGCCCTTAACATCAATCAATATCGAGACCATGTCAGCAACCACAGCCTGTACAGTGAACTTCCCAAAGTCAGCTCCAAGATAACCCAACGAAGGCTCAGACTTGCAGGTCATGCTCATCGACATCCGGAGCTGGCACTGAACAAACTGATCCTCTGGAGTCTGGAAGCCGAGTCATGGGCATACTAACAGGGGGCGACCTTACTTAACATTACTAGATAACCTAAAAGTAGATACTGGGCTGAAGTCAGTAGATGAGATAGCTAGACTGGAGGTCAGAAAACTGTGGAGGACAGAAAAGCTGTGGAGAACACTACCCGCCTTAGGCTTAAGTCAAGTCAAGTATATAATCAAACATTTAAGAGCTTGGACATTATTGATTGAAATAAATTTTCGTGCACATACAGAATATAATATCATATAGTCGCAAGCAAAGAGCACACAGCAGGCACAAATAAGTTTACTTCGTCACATACTCTTGATGATATGTACACTTGTTTGAAATTGAGCAAATATTGATATACCATCTTAAACACCCTATATTACTTACTGGATCAATCAACACTATTACAACCAGTCACATAAATTATTCTGTGGTAGTAATATGTGTTGTACTTTTTGTGGTAGACACTTCCAAGTGATACACTGTTAAAAACCCAGGTTTAGAACATACTGAATATTATAAATTAATAATATAATAACTTAAATATATAGCATCTCCTTCAACTAAAATTTGTTGAAATAATTTAGGTGAAATAATTTAGCTCAATCGGTTAAAAAATCTGATGTAAAATCATTTGTACAAAAGTTAAAAAGTGAATTTTTAAATGTGGTAAAAATGAAATCTACAAAAGTCTCAATGCGTACGTGCGTGAGAATATTGAAATTTGTTGCGCTCTCTACACGGTTTAAAACTTTGTGCATTCCGTATTTTAAAACAAAAATAAAGTGTTTTTCTTCAAAACTTAAACGTGACAGAGAATCTAAATAACTTCACATTCGATCTGTATTAGATTTGTGCGGTTAGATTTAAACATTTAAAAATAAAACAACTGTCATAAAATGTGATAATAAAACGTGTTCAATGTTCCTCCCAGTTTGCGGTAACTTAGCCTATCTGGTGGTTTACTATTACGTGCAAAGTTTGCTGGCAGAAGCAAATTAGGTTCTTGCATTTCAGGCTCAATATTAAGTTTCATAGTGCTACGGGTAATTTGTATGGCAAGCTCATGTGGTTTAAGTACAGGCTGTGCAGTGATAGGTTCAACGGCTGCCTTATGATCAGGCTATGCGGGTAGATTTGGATTATTACCAACTATAATCGAAGTTTCCGGCTCTGTACTCTCAGGTAAGCTAGCTTTCTTCTCTAAATCATATCAGTAGCTGTAGAACTCTGCTAATCTCTTATCTCGAGCTCAACTCTCTGTGTATCCGGATCTGTCTGTTGCGACGGCTCTGACACAACAGATCTCTTGATCATCTGGTCCAAATGCTTGGTCCTAAACCAACGGATGAAGCGTCCGTGTCAAGCTTTAACTCCAGCTCAGGGTTGTAGACTGATAGAACCAAGTCAGACGATAACAGTGCTTTTAACTCATCAAAAGTTCTCTTTTCTCTATCTCCAAAGTGGAAAGGAATGTCAGCGGGTCTTAAACGGTTTTAACCGTTTAAAAGTGGCTCGACAACTGTTGACATGTTGGGAATAAAACGTGAATAGTACTGTGCACCACCAAGGAATGATATCATCTCCGCTCTAGTAGTAGGATACGGTGCTCTCACTATGGTTTCAACTTTCGAACTCAGCGGTCTTATCCCGTCGGCAGATACTTCATGGCCTAGAAATGTCACCTTAAGCTCCATGAAAACACACTTGTCCAGCCGACATTTGTAGCCTTCTTTCTCTAGTGCTCTAATCACCGTTCTCACGTTCTTCATGTGACTCTCATCATCAGGTCCTGTTATTAGGATGTCGTCAACACGCCATGCCGTGTTCTCTGTCTTTCTCAAGGTATCATCAATCTTGCGTTCAAATATCAGTCCGGCAGATGAAATATATATGTATATTCTTTCTCACGGTTTTCGTGGAAAGTCGTGTTAAAGTTGAAGTCGTGGTGTCAGTAAAATGGCAACAGATATACAACCCCAATATACTGCGCCCCGATTTACTGCAAACCCCAATTTACCGTGGCCATTTTCTTTCCCCAAATAGGGCTTAACATACATAATGCGAACAATTATAACCCCGATTTACCGGGCTTTTTCCTTTCTCCCAAACTCCGCTGCAGGAGGTGACCGGGAATCCCGGTACCGGGAATCCCGGTACCGGGATTGGCAATTTTGAGCTATCCCGGTCCCGGTCCCGGTCCCGGTCAACCGGGTCAAGTCACATTTTTCATCCCGGTCGCGGTCCCGGTCCCGGTCAAATGCTGATTTATGATCCCGGTCCCGGTCCCGGTTAATTCAGGATTCTTGGTCCCGGTCCCGGTCCCGGTCAATCACTCAAATTTGCCGGGATTTTGACCGGGATCTTTTACATAATTTCATTCACTGTGATTTTAAGTTTTTACTTTCATTCATTGTGAATTTCATCTTTAAACAACCTCTGAGCCAAATAAAACAATGTTTAACATTGCTAAACAAGTTTAGGTAACTAATATCGTTACATAACTCATAAGTGCAAACTAACATCAAGTTTTCAACTCGGGCTACGCCCAATTGTCAATTGGAATTGGAGAATGAAACTGTTGAATAATTTGAGGGATCATTGATTGAGGAATGAGGAATGAGGGTGAACTTGAGTAATCAGTACATGAACATTATTGGTGTAGTACATTAGGCCCATGCCCCATATTGACGGGTTTACTTTAGTTTTTTCTAATTTAATATTCTAGTTATTACTTATTCAAATTGTTCAATTATAATGTAAATGAAAGTTGCAGCTTTCAATATGAGAATACCAGTTTTGGTCCCGGTCATCCCGGTCATCCCGGTAAAATTGGATTGTTGGTCCCGGTCCCGGTCCCGGTAAGATAGAAATCCCAGAAATTATTGGTCCCGGTCCCGGTCACGGTAAATTGATAATCTCAGTCCCGGTCCCGGTCACGGTCAAGTCACATTTTGTATCCCGGTCCCGGTCAGGACTAAAATCATGTCCCGGTCACCTCCTGCTCCGCTGCAAATCGGGGTATTACTGTTTCTTCTTCTTCTAACCCAATGACTTTAGACCTAGCTTCAAGATGATGGTCAGAGGAGGAAAGCAGTACTGTAAGTTTTACTTACAAGGTCACTGCAAAAACGGTGCAAAATGTGCTTTTGAACACGAACGGCCTAAGTGTCACTTCTACAGTAAAGGGATGTGTTTCCGTGGTAACCTGTGTTACTTTGTCCACGCTGAGCCTGAACATGTAAGTGGACTTGTATTGTGAATAATAAACTTTGAAACATTGCTTGTAACAGATTTGACACATTTATTTCATCTTTTTGTCACGACATAAACACTTGTTAACGGCTTTTGTTGTAGACTGATGCTGCGCTGATGATAACAAAGATAGATGAGATAGGGGCACTACCCTTCAAGTCCCCCCCACCTGTGTGCCAGACCAATCTAACACGTGATGGCTTAGTCAGGAAACTGAGGGGCATCCAGAAGAGAGCTGGTACGGTGGAGGACTACTATGAGCGATTCAATGAGGTATAGTTAACATAGTGTAGAAGTAATTGAGTATGTTGACAGACTTGTATTTACTCTTAACACTAGGCTGAACTGCAAATAGCAATCATTATTTTAGGTTTGATATTTCGATGGTTATAATTTGTTCAAATTAACATGCATCTTAATCGTTCTGAATCGTTAGAGACAACTTGCAATTTTTAGTATCTTAAGTCATTTGCCTGACTTTGTCATTCTCCTTAATTCTAATGATATTTTACAAATTATTTACATTACATTAAGTTGCATTACATAACACTGTACATAACGCTGTACATTGCATTACTTGTTATAATCATAGAGATATAGTGTACACTGTGCGTCACGTCATGATAGTCGGTGATATTTATTGGGAATATTAAAAAGGAATTCTATTGTTCAACTAATTGAAACAGGTATTGGAAGAATTTTACCTGTACGAGATAACAAGAGACGATATGATCGAAGTGCTCCAGATACTATGTGAAGACGATGAGGTCACCAACGTGTACAAGTAGGTCTCTTTAAGTTGTTATACCAAATTATCAGATCTAACATATTTAGTGACTAAGTATCACTTTGTCATTTATCTAGCGCCGTGCAGATGTGAAGTGTGTACAGATTTTAAATTAGGAGCCATGTTGTTAGGTCAGGTTAAGTTTGATGATGACTGGTAAGTGTCAAGGACAAAAGGATTTCGCGATTATTTTGGCCAAATTTCGCGGTACCGCGAAATTTAACAGGCTATACATTAAACTATACATAAAATTTGTCGCGGAGAATGGGAAATTTCGCGATTTCGTACATGCCGCGAAATCCTTTTGTCCCTGGTAAGTGTTGGTAATTACACTCTTGTGTCCAGGATAGTTATAATAATAGCAAGTTTCTTCTGCTAGTTACCACGTTTAATGTTTGTACTGCCCTTCCTCCCTTCCTCCCTACCTCCCTCCCTTCCTCCCTTCCTCCCTACCTCCCTACCTCCCTCCCTCCCTTCCTCCCTTCCTCCCTTCCTCCCTACCTCCTCCCTTCCTCCCTACCTCCCTTCCTCCCTTCCTCCCTCCCTCCCTCCCTCTCTCCCTCCCTCCCTCCCTCCCTCCCTTCCCCCTTCCTCCCTTCCTCCCTCCAATCCTGTGTCCAGGACAGTTATCCCTACACCTCCCTCCCTTCCTCCCTTCCTCCCTTCCTCCCTTCCTCCCTTCCTCCCTTCCTCCCTTCCTCCCTTCCTCCCTTCCTCCCTACCTCCTCCCTTCCTCCCTACCTCCCTACCTCCCTCCCTCCCTCCCTCCCTCCCTCCCTCCCTCCCTCCCTCCCTCCCTCCCTCCCTCCCTCCCTCTCCACTCTTGTGTCCAGGATAGTTATAATAATAGCAAGTTTCTTCTGCTAGTTACCACGTTTAATGTTTGTACTGCCCGCATCCCTCCCTTCTCGGCTTCTCCACCCTCCCTCCTTAGCTCCTTCCCTTCCTCTACCCTCCCTCCCTACACCTCCCTCCCTTCCTCCCTTCCTCCCTTCCTCCCTTCCTCCCTTCCTCCCTTCCTCCCTTCCTCCCTTCCTCCCTTCCTCCCTACCTCCTCCCTTCCTCTACCCTCCCTCCCTACACCTCCCTCCCTTCCTCCCTTCCTCCCTTCCTCCCTTCCTCCCTTCCTCCCTTCCTCCCTTCCTCCCTTCCTCCCTTCCTCCCTACCTCCTCCCTTCCTCCCTACCTCCCTACACCTCCCTCCCTTCCTCCCTTCCTCCCTTCCTCCCTTCCTCCCTTCCTCCCTTCCTCCCTTCCTCCCTTCCTCCCTTCCTCCCTTCCTCCCTTCCTCCCTACCTCCTCCCTTCCTCTACCCTCCCTCCCTACACCTCCCTCCCTTCCTCCCTTCCTCCCTTCCTCCCTTCCTCCCTTCCTCCCTTCCTCCCTTCCTCCCTTCCTCCCTTCCTCCCTACCTCCTCCCTTCCTCCCTACCTCCCTACACCTCCCTCCCTTCCTCCCTTCCTCCCTTCCTCCCTTCCTCCCTTCCCCCCTTCCTCCCTACCTCCCTACCTCCTCCCTTCCTCCCTTCCTCCCTACCTCCTCCCTTCCTCTACCCTCCCTTCCTCCCTTCCTCCCTCCCTCCCTCCCTCCCTCCCTCCCTCCCTCCCTTCCTCCCTTCCTCCCTTCCTCCCTTCCTCCCTTCCTCCCTTCCTCCCTTCCTCCCTTCCCCCCTTCCTCCCTACCTCCCTCCCTTCCTCCCTTCCTCCCTACCTCCCTACCTCCCTCCCTCCCTTCCTCCCTTCCTCCCTACCTCCTCCCTTCCTCCCTTCCTCCCTTCCTCCCTTCCTCCCTTCCTCCCTTCCTCCCTTCCTCCCTTCCTCCCTTCCTCCCTTCCTCCCTTCCTCCCTTCCTCCCTTCCTCCCTTCCCCCCTTCCTCCCTCCCTCCCTCCCTTCCTCCCTTCCTCCCTACCTCCCTACCTCCCTCCCTCCCTTCCTCCCTTCCTCCCTTCCTCCCTACCTCCTCCCTTCCTCCCTACCTCCCTTCCTCCCTTCCTCCCTCCCTCCCTCCCTCTCTCCCTCCCTCCCTCCCTCCCTCCCTTCCCCCTTCCTCCCTTCCTCCCTCCAATCCTGTGTCCAGGACAGTTATCCCTACACCTCCCTCCCTTCCTCCCTTCCTCCCTTCCTCCCTTCCTCCCTTCCTCCCTTCCTCCCTTCCTCCCTTCCTCCCTACCTCCTCCCTTCCTCTACCCTCCCTCCCTACACCTCCCTCCCTTCCTCCCTTCCTCCCTTCCTCCCTTCCTCCCTTCCTCCCTACCTCCCTACCTCCCTACCTCCCTCCCTCCCTTCCTCCCTTCCTCCCTTCCTCCCTACCTCCCTACCTCCCTCCCTCCCTCCCTCCCTCCCTCCCTCCCTCCCTCCCTCCCTCCCTCCCTCCCTCCCTCCCTCCCTTCCTCTACCCTCCTTCCCTCCCTCCCTTCCTCCCTCCCTCCCTCCTCCACCCTCCCCCCCGACTGTTATTGTAAAGTGTATTTACCTCAAATACCTCATACCTGTAACCTGATACTGAAAACTTCAGATTTACCATTACAACCATATTTGAAAACTGGTGCATTTCCTGCCGACATTGGGCCGACTTCTTCCTGGCACTCCTGATGGGAGATAAAACTGAGTTGACAGACGAACAAATGCTTGATGCTGTCAAGAACTTTGGTAAGGAACCCTTTTTTACATATTTTACATATCTGTGATTTCAATACACATTTTTTATGCATGATTATTTTTTCGGTTCATGACCATTTCACCTAATGTTAGTATTAGCTGTTACAAAATAAACGTCATCAGACCCTGGAAGTGAAATACAAATATTTTAAGTTTACAGTGTACGCGTGTACAGTGTACGCGTGTACAGTGTACGCGTCTAAAAGCAAGGCAGGAATGAAAAATATTGTAAACCGCTGATTTGCTAGTATATGATGGTTACCTTTTTCAGATTCAGAACAAAGTCTGGTGATGATCGGAACGCTGATTGTAGGTTTATTGACTCTAGAAAAGCAGGAGCTAGCACTGGCACTGCTTCTACGTCAATCTGATGGCAAGGTAATAATAACAGTTTTATTTAAATTAAATAAGGTTTTACTAAGTACTCCAGTAGCAGGGAGTAAGTTTTACTAAGTACTCCAGTAGCAAGGAGTAAGTTTTACTAAGTACTCCAGTAGCAGGGAGTAAATTTTACTAAGTACTCCAGTAGCAGGGAGTAAGTTTTACTAAGTACTCCAGTAGCAGGGAGTAAGTTTTACTAAGTACTCCAGTAGCAGGGAGTAAGTTTTACTAAGTACTCCAGTAGCAGGGAGTAAGTTTTACTAAGTACTCCAGTAGCAGGGAGTAAATTTTACTAAGTACCCAGTAGCAGCGAGTAAGTTTTACTAAGTACTCCAGTAGCAGGGAGTAAGTTTTACTAAGTACTCCAGTAGCAGGGAGTAAGTTTTACTAAGTACTCTAGTAGCAGGGAGTAAGTTTTACTAAGTACTCCAGTAGCAGGGAGTAAGTTTTACTAAGTACTCCAGTAGCAGGGAGTAAGTTTTACTAAGTACTCCAGTAGCAGGGAGTAAGTTTTACTAAGTACTCCAGTAGCAGGGAGTAAGTTTTACTAAGTACTCCAGTAGCAGGGAGTAAGTTTTACTAAGTACTCCAGTAGCAGGGAGTAAGTTTTACTAAGTACTCCAGTAGCAGGGAGTAAGTTTTGCTAAGTACTCTAGTAGCAGGGAGTAAGTTTTACTAAGTACTCTAGTAGCAGGGAGTAAGTTTTACTAAGTACTCCAGTAGCAGGGAGTAAGTTTTACTAAGTACTCCAGTAGCAGGGAGTAAGTTTTACTAAGTACTCCAGTAGCAGGGAGTAAATTTTACTAAGTACCCAGTAGCAGCGAGTAAGTTTTACTAAGTACTCCAGTAGCAGGGAGTAAGTTTTACTAAGTACTCCAGTAGCAGGGAGTAAGTTTTACTAAGTACTCCAGTAGCAGGGAGTAAGTTTTGCTAAGTACTCTAGTAGCAGGGAGTAAGTTTTACTAAGTACTCTAGTAGCAGGGAGTAAGTTTTACTAAGTACTCTAGTAGCAGGGAGTAAGTTTTACTAAGTACTCCAGTGGGGGGAATGCAACGTCAATTAATGTCAGTATTCCATAAAAACCCCAAACTGACATTGACATTAATTGACATTAATTGACATTAATTGACATTAATATGTCTTGAAATTTGAGATTATCATTATTCGATAAATATTCAAGATATTCACGTCTATGTAAGTTAGACCGGTTCAAAAAAAACAAAATGTCCTTGAATAATTATGAGTATGTTCTTATCTGTTGATCCTTAGGTTCAAAGACCACCAAAAAAAATTTCAGCTTCCAACTCTTCCATCTTCGGTCCCCACCGGCCACGCCCATATTTTATTGGTTTCTTATACAGGTAAAATATCTAGAATCGGCTTTTTTAGTATGAAGGAGTAATGTTAGCTGTTTAAGATTCGTTATTCAAATATAAATGTCATGAAGGCATTTCGTTTAATGTGGGTTTTAAGTTCTGATGATGTTGAGAACCACGCCCTTGGATGGCCACGCCCATTTAAGAAAATTAAATTTCGGGAAACCGTATTATTTTAGTTTTATTGTTTAATGATCTGAATTTTTTTCACATTTCACATTTCCATATGTGATAGTAGTGAATAAATTGATGATATAAACGTTCTAAAGTGCTAAAAATATGGTAGAACTACATAATCTCTGGTCGAAAAATATCATGTCAATTAATGTCAGTATTCCAAAATTTTGCAAAACTGACATTGACATTAATTGACATTAATTGACATTAATTGACATTAATTGACATTAATTGACGTTGCATTCCCCCCACTCCAGTAGCAGGGAGTAAGTTTTACTAAGTACTCCAGTAGTAGGAAGTAAGTTTTACTAAGTACTCCAGTAGCAGGGAGTAAGTTTTACTAAGTACTCCAGTAGCAGGGAGTAAGTTTTACTAAGTACTCCAGTAGCAGGGAGTAAGTTTTACTAAGTACTCTAGTAGCAGGGAGTAAGTTTTACTAAGTACCCAGTAGCAGGGAGTAAGTTTTACTAAGTACTCCAGTAGCAGGGAGTAAGTTTTACTAAGTACCCAGTAGCAGGGAGTAAGTTTTACTAAGTACTCCAGTAGTAGGGAGTAAGTTTTACTAAGTACTCCAGTAGCAGGGAGTAAGTTTTACTATGTACTCCAGTAGCAGGGAGTAAGTTTTACTAAGTACTCCAGTAGCAGGGAGTAAGTTTTACTAAGTACTCCAGTAGCAGGGAGTAAGTTTTACTAAGTACTCCAGTAGCAGGGAGTAAGTTTTACTAAGTACTCCAGTAGCAGGGAGTAAGTTTTACTAAGTACTCCAGTAGCAGGGAGTAAGTTTTACTATGTACTCCAGTAGCAGGGAGTAAGTTTTACTAAGTACTCCAGTAGCAGGGAGTAAGTTTTACTAAGTACTCCAGTAGCAGGGAGTAAGTTTTACTATGTACTCCAGTAGCAGGGAGTAAGTTTTACTAAGTACTCCAGTAGCAGGGAGTAAGTTTTACTAAGTACTCTAGTAGCAGGGAGTAAGTTTTACTAAGTACTCCAGTAGCAGGGAGTAAGTTTTACTAAGTACCCAGTAGCAGGGAGTAAAGTGTGGTGTGGTGACTAATCGTGTTACTCTTGTTTTTTATTGATCACGTCTAGAGGATGTACAGTAAAAGCCAGGAAAAGTCCCGGTAGCGTTACAAAGTACATACCTGTACAAGATGTATTAATATATATTACGAGCGATATAACATATTGTAATTGGCTCACTGCTAGCCACATGTACATGATAAAAAACCCGCCAATTTCGAATGTATTTCGAAAATGGATGTTACATGAATTTGAATATATTTCGATAATAAATATATAAATTTGAATATTTTTGGATGGCTCGGGAATATGAACAAGATATTAATTAGGAATATGAATAAGATATTAATTAGGATATCTCTTTGAGTTAAAATAACAGTCTTTACAGGATTTCTCGGTATATCTCAAGATCCTTGCAGCGTATCTTCAACCTAGTGTTATAGCGTCTTTTCTGCGAACACACATTCAGCAGTACAACGTTCAAGAAGACGAATTCTGCAGGTAATGTACTATTTAGTATGTACTTTAAACATATCGCCACTTACGTTCGATTATTGTGTTTTTAGCTAGTTTCACAAATACAGATAATTACAAATTTATTTATTGGGATGGGTAATTTTTAACCTGGTTTAGTTCCAAACCCTGACCACATTCAAGGCTGCGTCTCATCGCTTAATGAAGATCAGAAATCAAATAATATTCCTCGTATTCAAAGCTGATACAACTTACTTTTTGGTCAACAATCGACTAATGATAAATGAGCTATTTATGCGAAGGACCTTATATTGATATTAGGAATTTAAGCATGAATAATTTATGTGAACTGAATGAAATTAAATACAACAAAGTGCACCAAGTATCTTAACGTCTTATCCTCGGATTAGAAGTTTCAACTTCTTAAGTTTTCAAAATGCAGAAATTCTACGACGTTTAAAAATTCCGGTTACAGGAGACGTCATTGCCAAGTTTTTTTTATTTTTTTTATTAAATACTTTTCAAATTTTACAGAGTACAGCAATAGATGAATATTAAATAGAATCGTTCAAAATATCGCCCCCATCTGTAAAATATGATGGGCACCCAAACACGGTAAACACATAGTGAACTATGTCCGCAGTAACTTGGACCCATTACATCGAATTAATCTAAATCCAAAAATTTATGAAAAACTATTTAATAACAAACAAATCCATGGTGAATAACTGTGGATATAGAGTCAAAATTGGAATTTCAATACGTCAAATTCCAGATACATTAGATACAGGTCTGAAATGGTCATTAATGTGTGAGAAGGTGTGCGGGTGAAGTGTGATATGATGTTGAAAGTATAGGAAGGTAGATACAAAAATTAATAAAACAAAAATAATAATAATATGGGGAGCAAAGAGACTAGGCTAGACTGTTGTTTCACTATCCAATAAACATTTCCATAGATGCTTAGTGACCTCAGCTTTGAAAAGACTAGTAGACACAATCTGTCTTACCTGTAAAGGGAGTCCATTCCACAGTATATGGGTTCTGTAGAAAAATGATTTTGCCAGTGGGCTATTTGAGGTACATGTGGTGTGTGAATTCTGACTTAACTTAGGTAAAATTGATGACACAATAGACAGACTGTCGAGGTGGCAACGTCTTAGTCGAGAAGTGCCCTGATATAAAGAGAGATAGTGAGGCAGCGATACAGGAATTAAATTGTTAAGAGCTTTGTGGAAAAAAATAAGATCATTCAAGTCAAACTTTTGAGACAAAGGGAGAATGTCGACAAGCTTGCACTTTTTGACATATTGCTCAGGTGGATAACTGCGGCCCTCTTCAGACAGAATCCATTTAATAGCTCTCTTTTGGAGACTTTCTAATTTATCACTAAGTGATTTATTACAAGGGCGCCAGATTATGGAACAATTTTCGAATTGGCTACGAACCAGGGAGAGGTAAAGCGCCCGGCGACGTTTCTGATCAATGACAATATGGCCATCTCTTCTGACCATACCAAGTTGTTGGCAGGCCTTAGTATAAATTCTGTCGCACTGACTATTCCAACTTAGCTTAGGAGTAACATCAACTCCAAGATCTTTTTCTAACTCTACATACACAAGAGGAGAGCCATCAAGATTATATGCGAATGGAGGAGATAAAGATGGTTTTCCTGAAACAATAAGCACTTTACATTTTGCTGGATGGAATCGCATTTTGTTTCTTAGTGCCCAGTCAGAGAGATAGTCTATATCCATTTGTAAATTAGTATTATCAGTCTCATGTTTCCATTGCCGGGTTTTATGGATAATTGCCACATTTTATGTAAGATTACCACATTTTATGTAAAATTGCCAGGTTTAATGTAAGATTGCCAGGTTTAATGTAAGATTGCCAGGTTTAATGTAAGATTGCCAGGTTTAATGTAAGAGTGCCAGGTTTAATGTAAGATTGCCAGGTTTAATGTAAGATTGCCAGGTTTAATGTAATATTGCCAGGTTTAATGTAAGATTGCCAGGTTTAATGTAAGATTGCCAGGTTTGATGTAAGAGTGCCAGGTTTAATGTAAGATTGCCAGGTTAAATGTAAGATTGCCAGGTTTAATGTAAGAGTGCCAGGTTTAATGTAAGATTGCCAGGTTTAATGTAAGATTGCCAGGTTTAATGTAAGATTGCCAGGTTAAATGTAAGATTGCCAGGTTTAATGTAAGATTGCCAGGTTAAATGTAAGATTGCCAGGTTTAATGTAAGATTGCCATGTTTAATGTAAGATTGCCAGGTTAAATGTAAGATTGCCAGGTTTAATGTAAGATTGCCAGATTTGATGTAAGAGTGCCAGGTTTAATGTAAGATTGCCAGGTTTAATGTAAGATTGCCAGGTTAAATGTAAGATTGCCAGGTTAAATGTAAGATTGCCAGGTTTAATGTAAGATTGCCATGTTTGATGTAAGAGTGCCAGGTTTAATGTAAGATTGCCAGGTTTAATGTAAGATTGCCAGGTTAAATGTAAGATTGCCAGGTTTAATGTAAGATTGCCAGGTTTGATGTAAGAGTGCCAGGTTTAATGTAAGATTGCCAGGTTTAATGTAAGATTGCCAGGTTAAATGTAAGATTGCCAGGTTTAATGTAAGATTGCCAGGTTAAATGTAAGATTGCCAGGTTTAATGTAAGATTGCCAGGTTTAATGTGAGATTGCCAGGTTTAATGTAAGATTGCCAGGTTTAATGTAAGATTGTCAGGTTTGATGTAAGAGTGCCAGGTTTAATGTAAGATTGCCAGGTTTAATGTAAGATTGCCAGGTTAAATGTAAGATTGCCAGGTTTAATGTAAGATTGCCAGGTTTAATGTAAGATTGCCAGGTTTAATGTAAGATTGCCAGGTTTAATGTAAGATTGCCAGGTTTGATGTAAGAGTGCCAGGTTTAATGTAAGATTGCCAGGTTTAATGTAAGATTGCCAGGTTTAATGTAAGATTGCCAGGTTAAATGTAAGATTGCCAGGTTTAATGTAAGATTGCCAGGTTAAATGTAAGATTGCCAGGTTTAATGTAAGATTGCCAGGTTTAATGTGAGATTGCCAGGTTTAATGTAAGATTGCCAGGTTTAATGTAAGATTGTCAGGTTTGATGTAAGAGTGCCAGGTTTAATGTAAGATTGCCAGGTTTAATGTAAGATTGCCAGGTTAAATGTAAGATTGCCAGGTTTAATGTAAGATTGCCAGGTTTGATGTAAGAGTGCCAGGTTTAATGTAAGATTGCCAGGTTTAATGTAAGATTGCCAGGTTTAATGTAAGATTGCCAGGTTAAATGTAAGATTGCCAGGTTTAATGTAAGATTGCCAGGTTAAATGTAAGATTGCCAGGTTTAATGTAAGATTGCCAGGTTTAATGTAAGATTGCCAGGTTTAATGTAAGATTGCCAGGTTAAATGTAAGATTGCCAGGTTTAATGTAAGATTGCCAGGTTTAATGTGAGATTGCCAGGTTTAATGTAAGATTGCCAGGTTTAATGTAAGATTGTCAGGTTTGATGTAAGAGTGCCAGGTTTAATGTAAGATTGCCAGGTTTAATGTAAGATTGCCAGGTTAAATGTAAGATTGCCAGGTTTAATGTAAGATTGCCAGGTTTAATGTAAGATTGCCAGGTTTGATGTAAGAGTGCCAGGTTTAATGTAAGATTGCCAGGTTTAATGTAAGATTGCCAGGTTTAATGTAAGATTGCCAGGTTAAATGTAAGATTGCCAGGTTTAATGTAAGATTGCCAGGTTAAATGTAAGATTGCCAGGTTTAATGTAAGATTGCCAGGTTTAATGTGAGATTGCCAGGTTTAATGTAAGATTGCCAGGTTTAATGTAAGATTGTCAGGTTTGATGTAAGAGTGCCAGGTTTAATGTAAGATTGCCAGGTTTAATGTAAGATTGCCAGGTTAAATGTAAGATTGCCAGGTTTAATGTAAGATTGCCAGGTTTGATGTAAGAGTGCCAGGTTTAATGTAAGATTGCCAGGTTTAATGTAAGATTGCCAGGTTTAATGTAAGATTGCCAGGTTAAATGTAAGATTGCCAGGTTTAATGTAAGATTGCCAGGTTAAATGTAAGATTGCCAGGTTTAATGTAAGATTGCCAGGTTTAATGTAAGATTGCCAGGTTTAATGTGAGATTGCCAGGTTAAATGTAAGATTGCCATGTTTAATGTAAGATTGCCAGGTTAAATGTAAGATTGCCAGGTTTAATGTAAGATTGCCAGGTTTGATGTAAGAGTGCCAGGTTTAATGTAAGATTGCCAGGTTAAATGTAAGATTGCCAGGTTTAATGTAAGATTGCCAGGTTTGATGTAAGAGTGCCAGGTTTAATGTAAGATTGCCAGGTTTAATGTAAGATTGCCAGGTTAAATGTAAGATTGCCAGGTTTAATGTAAGATTGCCAGGTTAAATGTAAGAGTGCCAGGTTTAATGTAAGATTGCCAGGTTAAATGTAAGATTGCCAGGTTTAATGTAAGATTGCCAGGTTAAATGTAAGAGTGCCAGGTTTAATGTAAGATTGCCAGGTTTAATGTAAGATTGCCAGGTTTAATGTAAGATTGCCAGGTTAAATGTAAGATTGCCATGTTTAATGTAAGATTGCCAGGTTAAATGTAAGATTGCCAGGTTTAATGTAAGATTGCCAGGTTTGATGTAAGAGTGCCAGGTTTAATGTAAGATTGCCAGGTTAAATGTAAGATTGCCAGGTTTAATGTAAGATTGCCAGGTTTGATGTAAGAGTGCCAGGTTTAATGTAAGATTGCCAGGTTTAATGTAAGATTGCCAGGTTAAATGTAAGATTGCCAGGTTTAATGTAAGATTGCCAGGTTAAATGTAAGAGTGCCAGGTTTAATGTAAGATTGCCAGGTTTAATGTAAGATTGCCAGGTTTAATGTAAGATTGCCAGGTTAAATGTAAGATTGCCAGGTTCAATGTAAGATTGCCAGGTTAAATGTAAGATTGCCAGGTTTAATGTAAGATTGCCAGGTTTAATGTAAGATTGCCAGGTTTAATGTGAGATTGCCAGGTTTAATGTAAGATTGCCAGGTTTAATGTAAGATTTCCTTCAGATGCCCTACGTACGTGTGCCGCTGTCCCACTAAAGTAGACCCTGGTCGAACAGCTGACATGGTGGACACCATACAAGAAGTGGTGGCTTGGACCGACTTCGAAAAACGGGACTTTATAAAGGTTAGGGACTTTGTTGTCATTATAATAGGGACATTTATTGGGACTTTGAACATGTACACTGTGCAGTCACTAAGTAAGGTTTGAGATGAGCGGAATCTTAATTCTTAAATTAATGTTATGTCTATTATATTGTCCCTGGAAACATGATCCTGATACTGTGATATGAAGTGAAAATATAAAGCTGTTATTACGAATAATTCTGCAGGCTTTCGCATATTATATAGGGTATAAATAGAGTTAGCGCTATTTTACTATTATAATCTGAATACACCCTTAAAATAAACTGTACCTGACCATTCTGAGAGAGTGAATTAAGTACTGCACCTTTGGAATACAGAAACGCTTTTAGGACACGAAAGGGTTTTTATTTTCACCAGTTACCAGCAGTGTCGTTATATTATATTACGCCACTGGTTACCAGCTTATCTGAACCATTGCATTCCAGATTTAGGTACGTGGGCCCTTGAATTAGTCCTCGTGTACATGTCTTTGGCTATGAAATATTGGGAAATGTCCTGTACTATTTGAATCATTAATGGGATAGTATGCATGACGCAGGCATTGTAATAAGCCATCTGGCTTAGGACCAAGACTGAAATGTATGACACAAAGTGTATGATTTATGGTATTTTGACGACCTATTGTAATCTATATCGGCACACGATGATTTTTCTTGGAATCGCTGTCAATCATGATAAACCTTACTCTCACTGCAATATTGGGCCCAATATTCCGTAACAGTCACCTCTGATTTAAGTGTTTTAAACTTTTCAATTGTCGTCGGCGACGATATGAGGCGATTATGGGGGCGACGACTCGTCGCCCCCTATAATCGCCTCATATCGTCCGAATTTATTGAATTTATTGGAACTGCACGGTTCAACATGTCCTATTTTCATCTACTAAACGTTCACATCACAATGATCTCACTTGCATATCAGAAAATCTATCAAAGCTTTTGAAACTATCGTTGTTTTAAATATTTCACTGATAAGCATTACGGAATTTCTTTAAAATCCTGGCAGATAACACCATCGACTTATCGCACCACGTGGTTGGACCCATGCGAAATCGGCTCTGTGCGCGCAGTCAAATGCTAATAGCCGCGCATTTTATAAAATTACATGGTTTGGTAGAATAAAAGTATACCGGCGTCATTGCATGGAAACACGTTAGCGCACGACCGTTCTTATCATGAGACGTCTCGAAATTAAGTCATCTTGCAAGCGTGATACCCATGCTTTCTAATGAAGCCCACTGTTAATTCTACATCACACGTCTCGATAATTGAAATAAGTTATGGAGTATGCCGGAGCTGGAGAATTTTCCCTTTTCATAGAATCTTCTAAGCAGTCGTAACTCGCACTGATATCATTTATCAAACTCATCATCTGTTTAAAGGTCTGGTGTTAAAGTAAAGGGAACGTGTTCGGAATTAATGTACAGGTAGTGTGCTTGATTCAATATATTATCAAACTTTTACCCGTATTGTTGTGAGAGATTTAATAAGATTGCTCCACAAGTGTAATTAACTAATCACTATTTAATTAATCTCCAAATCACACTTCAGACCATGTGCCACGGTCTGTTCAAGCGTCCTGACATCCAAGAAATAGCTGACATAGTGAGATTTGAGAACGACATGGTCAGAGCTGAAGCAGTTTGCGACACCTTGGCTAAACCAATGTCTGATGTGGAGAAACAGCATCTTCGTCGTGTCTTCCACCGAGCTTTCGGTGTCCATCCTAGAGGTATGCATATTGTATAGTATACAATGTATAGTTTGTATACTGCTACAATGATTGTATAATGTATATTGTACACCTTCGCGACATGTCTGAATAGAAATTTCAACATTTGTAAGTATTTAATACTTGTGTAAGTATTTAATACTTGTGTTAGTATTTAATACTTGTGTAAATATTTAATACTTGTGTAAGTATTTAATACTTGAACGTGATATTTGCTGATAGTTTTAGTTGCTGACACCTCGAAAATAGGTGTCAGGTGTTCTCCTGTTAAGTAGTAATTACTTACTTGTGTAGCCCTGTCTTACATTGAAAAGCACTGAATATACATTTTGTGGGTTTCAGTCAACAACGTTGGAAATAAACTTATTATTAATTATTAAATGTGTGCAGGTTTTCGGTGGCACTAACACTTAAACACTAGGCGATGAAAACTACAAATTTTTGACCTTGGCCATGGTGAAAATAACATATAAAACCAGAGAAATAGATGGCGATGATATGTGTGGGGGGGGGGGGGGAACATGATCCCCCCATATTTCCACCAATAATATGACAAATTTGAATAACCTAAATGTTTACTAGTTACATTTTGCGATTTATCTGGCCAATCCCAATAGTCAATGACGAACATTGCATGCAACCATTATCATAATACTTACACAAATTTCATTGCCATTATTTAGATGATTTACCCACAGATCCGCAAAATAAAGATCACTTTTCAGCTATAAACTACCACCTATCTCAAACTGACCCGCTGAGAAGACGCCAGACGATATTGAAACTTGGCATAGACCCAAACGAGATTCTGAGTGCCGGAGAGGTCTGGAGTGGCATCTACAAACCCTTAGAGATAGAAAATAAGGAGAACAAGATGAACGTAGAGGCGCTGGAGAATGATAAGGTAAGAGAGAGAGAGAGAGAGAGAGGGAGAGAGAGAGAGAGAGAGAGAGAGAGAGAGAGAGAGAGAGAGAGAGAGAGAGAGAGAGAGAGAGAGAGAGAGAGAGAGAGAGAGAGAGAGAGAGAGAGAGAGAGAGAGAGAGAGAGAGAGAGAGAGAGAGAGAGAGAGAGAGAGAGAGAGAGAGAGAGAGAGAGAGAGAGAGAGAGAGAGAGAGAGAGAGAGAGAGAGAGAGAGAGAGAGAGAGAGAGAGAGAGAGAGAGAGAGAGAGAGAGAGAGAGAGAGAGAGAGAGAGAGAGAGAGAGAGAGAGAGAGAGAGAGAGAGAGAGAGAGAGAGAGAGAGAGAGAGAGAGAGAGAGAGAGTGAGAGAGAGAGAGAGAGAGAGAGAGAGAGAGAGAGAGAGAGAGAGAGAGAGAGAGAGAGAGAGAGAGAAAATAAGGAGAACAAGATTAACGTAGAGGCGCTGGAGAATGATAAGGTTTCTTTAATTAAGATTTCTTCTCTTTTTTGTTGGTTGATATTTAATGTATACTAGACTTTGAAACTTATTTAATGTCTTTAGGTTTCAACAGCCATACAAGGTCTCCAAAGTACGCAATTTTTAAAAGCTAAAGTTATCATTCTTGCTCCAGTTCTCATTACTTACCTTTCCAGTGTCAGTCGCCCTATATAAACTGTAGGAACAGACCTAAAGATGTATGTGACCGCGGTTTATGTCGGAGATGCTGTGTCGACTTTGGTAAAAAGATGGGGACAGATTGTTACGGACACATGTTGTTCTTCACAGAGGGTGATTTTAGCGATTCAGAGCAGGTTGGAATCCATTCTTCCCATTCTTAAAGCACCATGTACTCTTGAAAGTGTATTTCATTATGAAGCGCACGCACCCACAAAAATGTATTCCATTCAAAGTTGACCGAATGTATTCTAGCTAATCGCTAATTTTCAAACTTGTTCGTGATGAAAATTGCTGTAACCCAACCTACACCTACCTATATACCTACTGTACAGGATAACTCAGTTAACAAGAGACGAGAGCTAGGAATGGTGCCAAAAATAAACTTCCCCTACTTTAAACCTCGTGTCAGTTTGTACGGTGAACCCAATCTTGATGAGGCTATACGCAGCAAATGCAGGTTAGCTGCTTATCTTGCAATATTCTTATTGGCGCAATTTTGTATTTATAATTATAATAAATTTCAAGAAGGTGTTGAATTGGTCGCTATGACTGTAGAATTTCTATCATGCAGGTATCAGAGAATAGATTGCGACCCTAGCTTCCACATCCAAGATGACCAACTCATTAAACTTGTCAAGAAGTTTAGCACTGATGTAAGATGTCTTTCTATTGGGAGCAAAGAAACAAGTAAGACAACATTTTATTTAAGTTTTAATGGGCAGATCTACCTAAATATCCCGATGCTTCATGAAGATGTTGTTGCACTGGATTGTAAACAGAATTAAAGCAAGAATTGACAGAGTTAAAGCACCCACTTTAATTTTGGTTTCTACTTCAACTATTGCAGAGGCAGGGTTGGAGCTGACAAAAGAAAGTCTTCAAGAACTTAGCAAATGTAGAAATCTACACAAGCTGTCTTTAGAATGCTGTGTTAATGTTGACGACGACACGTTTAAGAGAATACTGGAGGGATGTCCTAAACTTAAGTATTTAGAGGTAAGAAACAATGAATGCTGTGTTAATGTTGACGATGACACATTTAAGAGAATACTGGAGGGATGTCCTAAACTTAAGTATTTAGAGGTAAGAAACAATAAAAAGCATCCATCTTACCAGAGCATGAAAAACAAATCACCAAATATTCATCAACAAAAAACGTATACCAAATTTCTGTCGAAGGCATTATCAAAACATACAGTAAGTTTCACATTTTCTCTCACACGGGTGAAGTTTTAACGAATCTGAGGTCGCCTCTGAAGCAGTGGACCTTGTTTATCTCAGCACCAACCAGAGAGAGGATGTGTACCAGGAAGGTACCTCCAGTTGCTACACAGTAGAGTGGAGCATTGGAGAGCAGCAGCCAGCTTCCCTCCCACTGGGGACGTTATTAGTTTACTTGGAGTTGAGTTCCTTTAATATACTAGGTTACTCGTAGTTGAGTTACTTTAATGTACTAGGTTACTCGTAGTTGAGTTACTTTAATGTACTAGGTTACTCGTAGTTGAGTTACTTTAATATACTAGGTTACTCGTAGTTGAGTTACTTTAATATACTAGGTTACTCGTAGTTGAGTTACTTTAATATACTAGGTTACTCGTAGTTGAGTTACTTTAATATACTAGGTTACTCGTAGTTGAGTTACTTTAATATACTAGGTTACTCGTAGTTGAGTTACTTTAATATATTAGGTTACTCGTAGTTGAGTTACTTTAATATACTAGGTTACTCGTAGTTGAGTTACTTTAATATACTAGGTTAATCGGAGTTGAGTTACTTTAATATACTAGGTTACTCGGAGTTGAGTTACTTTAATATACTAGGTTACTCGTAGTTGAGTTACTTTAATTTACTAGGTTACTCGTAGTTGAGTTACTTTAATATACTAGGTTACTCGTAGTTGAGTTACTTTAATATACTAGGTTACTCGTAGTTGAGTTACTTTAATATATTAGGTTACTCGTAGTTGAGTTACTTTAATATACTAGGTTACTCGTAGTTGAGTTACTTTAATATACTAGGTTACTCGTAGTTGAGTTACTTTAATATATTAGGTTACTCGGAGTTGAGTTACTTTAATATACTAGGTTACTCGTAGTTGAGTTACTTTAATATACTAGGTTACTAGGAGTTGAGTTACTTTAATATACTAGGTTACTCGTAGTTGAGTTACTTTAATATACTAGGTTACTCGTAGTTGAGTTACTTTAATATACTAGGTTACTCGTAGTTGAGTTACTTTAATATACTAGGTTACTCGTAGTTGAGTTACTTTAATATACTAGGTTACTAGGAGTTGAGTTACTTTAATATACTAGGTTACTCGTAGTCGAGTTACTTTAATTTACTAGGTTACTCGGAGTTGAGTTACTTTAATATACTAGGTTACTCGGAGTTGAGTTACTTTAATATACTAGGTTACTCGTAGTTGAGTTACTTTAATATACTAGGTTACTCGTAGTTGAGTTACTTTAATATATTAGGTTACTCGTAGTTGAGTTACTTTAATATACTAGGTTACTCGTAGTTGAGTTACTTTAATATATTAGGTTACTCGTAGTTGAGTTACTTTAATATACTAAGTTACTCGTAGTTGAGTTACTTTAATATACTAGGTTACTCGTAGTTGAGTTACTTTAATATACTAGGTTACTCGTAGTTGAGTTACTTTAATATACTAGGTTACTCGTAGTTGAGTTACTTTAATATACTAGGTTACTCGTAGTTGAGTTACTTTAATATATTAGGTTACTCGTAGTTGAGTTACTTTAATATACTAGGTTACTCGTAGTTGAGTTACTTTAATATACTAGGTTACTCGTAGTTGAGTTACTTTAATATACTAGGTTACTCGGAGTTGAGTTACTTTAATATACTAGGTTACTCGTAGTTGAGTTACTTTAATATACTAGGTTAATCGGAGTTGAGTTACTTTAATATACTAGGTTACTCGGAGTTGAGTTACTTTAATATACTAGGTTACTCGTAGTTGAGTTACTTTAATTTACTAGGTTACTCGTAGTTGAGTTACTTTAATATACTAGGTTACTCGTAGTTGAGTTACTTTAATATACTAGGTTACTCGTAGTTGAGTTACTTTAATATATTATGTTACTCGTAGTTGAGTTACTTTAATATACTAGGTTACTCGTAGTTGAGTTACTTTAATATACTAGGTTACTCGTAGTTGAGTTACTTTAATATATTAGGTTACTCGGAGTTGAGTTACTTTAATATACTAGGTTACTCGTAGTTGAGTTACTTTAATATACTAGGTTACTAGGAGTTGAGTTACTTTAATATACTAGGTTACTCGTAGTTGAGTTACTTTAATATACTAGGTTACTCGTAGTTGAGTTACTTTAATATACTAGGTTACTCGTAGTTGAGTTACTTTAATATACTAGGTTACTCGGAGTTTATGAGGTGCTTGAATGTTGAAGCAACGTTACTTGACAGGTTTAGGTTTCCATCAATTCCCAATCCTGTGCGAACTGTGTCACGTGCTAGCTATGTCACGTGTTAACTGTGTCACGTGCTAGCTATGTCACGTGCTAGCTATGTCACGTGCTAGCTATGTCACGTGCGAACTGTGTCACGTGCTAGCTATGTCACGTGCTAGCTATGTCACGTGCTAGCTATGTCACGTGCTAGCTATGTCACGTGTTAACTGTGTCACGTGCTAGCTATGTCACGTGTTAACTGTGTCATGTGCTAGCTATGTCACGTGTTAACTGTGTCACGTGTTAACTGTGTCACGTGCTAGCTATGTCACGTGTTAACTGTGTCATGTGCTAGCTATGTCACGTGTTAACTGTGTCACGTGTTAACTGTGTCATGTGCTAGCTATGTCACGTGTTAACTGTGTCACGTGCTAGCTATGTCACGTGTTAACTGTGTCACGTGCTAGCTATGTCACGTGTTAACAGTGTCACGTGTTAACTGTGTCATGTGCTAGCTATGTCACGTGTTAACTGTGTCACGTGCTAGCTATGTCACGTGTTAACTGTGTCACGTGCTAGCTATGTCACGTGCGAACTGTGTCACGTGCTAGCTATGTCACGTGCTAGCTATGTCACGTGCTAGCTATGTCACGTGCTAGCTATGTCACGTGTTAACTGTGTCACGTGCTAGCTATGTCACGTGTTAACTGTGTCATGTGCTAGCTATGTCACGTGTTAACTGTGTCACGTGTTAACTGTGTCACGTGCTAGCTATGTCACGTGTTAACTGTGTCATGTGCTAGCTATGTCACGTGTTAACTGTGTCACGTGTTAACTGTGTCATGTGCTAGCTATGTCACGTGTTAACTGTGTCACGTGCTAGCTATGTCACGTGTTAACTGTGTCACGTGCTAGCTATGTCACGTGTTAACTGTGTCATGTGCTAGCTATGTCACGTGTTAACTGTGTCACGTGCTAGTTTTTCCACTGTGTGAAAGATATTAAACCCAACAGATAACGTGTTCAGTGTTCAACTGTCTCCAGGGAATGTAAAGTTGAAATTACCTGAAAGTATAAGAAGTGGAGCGCAAGGAGGATGGCTGGCAGAACTCCGCTCACTTTGTGTAACTCTCTGAAATCCTCGTACTTGAATACTTTTACCTGAGGGTTCACTGTCAAGTTTCAGGGAGTAGTTAATCAAAGCCACGCCCATGTACATTTTGAACAAGGGCCTTGTCGACTTTCAAGAAACCCTCATACTGCAACATATTGATTTGATTGAAGTTTGTTGTAAGATACAAGGTTAAAGGTATCAAATCTTATCGTGAGTAGAGCATGAGATAACATTCTAATTTCTTGTTCTATCACGTGTCTAGCACGTGTCTACTGTCTATCAAGCGTCTATCACGTGTCTAGCACGTGTCTATTATACCTGTCTTAAACACCAGATCATTAGAGACGTCAGGTCAAAGAGGAGAGCTGTAGTCAAACACATCTGATTTATGTAAATATTACCGTCGCCATGGTCATCGAAATACCGCAGGATCCAACCTGTGCACACCAATTATACGAATTTTAATGAATTTATAGCAAGAACTTGTATCTTGCATTAATATTAACGAACTCCTAGACCCTTTTTTATTCCCAAAAGTTAATCTGGCTATGAATTTTCACCTGTATTAGTGTCTGTTACGTCAGAGTTCTTAATGTCAAGCCAGGTGACCCCCAGAAACGCAAGAGCTCCGATGCATATTAAAACCATGAGTATACCTGTGAAAAATATAAGTTGATCTAGCCTTGAAGAAAACCTTTAATTTAAGCGAACATCTCTACTAATCATGTTATTAATTAAGGGGTAATTTATCAATAATTTAATTTCCAAACCTGCTTTCTCCTCGACAAGGTCCCATTTAGTCAGCAGTGTCTTCTCCGTACTCTTGATTGAGAGGGGCCGGTAGACAGGAGACTCCAATACAATAGGAGGTAGGACCTGCTCGTCTGCCTCCAACTCATTGATTCTCTCCTCGTACTGTCGGATCTTCTCCTCGTATCCCTTCAGTTTCTCCTCGATACCTGACCAACGTTACCATTGTTACACTTAACTCGTTACCCTTGTTACCCTTAAATCGTTACCCTCGATACCTGACCAACGTTACCCTTGTTACCCTTAAGTCGTTACCCTTGTTACCCTTAAATCGTTACCCTCGATACCTGACCAACGTTACTCTTGTTACCCTTAAATCGTTACCCTTGTTACCTTTTATAATAGCAGTATTTCCTCTCTTACTAGGCAGCTATGTTCATGCGTTGAGAACTATGTAGTGCACGTGAATAGTCTCATCACGTGATACTTATTCAATATAAATTTGCGTTCGTCCTCAGTTTTTAGCAGAAACAAGCGCGACAAATAAAAGACAAAAGCCTTTAGAATGTAGAAAGAAGATCAAATTACAAAACATTGATTTGATCACCCTTAGTGTCAGCCTTCTCACCTGCCTTATAACAGTACATTATTAACCTGTATTAACAGCTACTAGTTGCAGGAGCAGCTGGTTAACCAGCTGGGGTCTAGCTGCGATCAGGCCCTCGGTTGATACAGAGTTAGTGTCATCACCATTTGTAATTCTGGAGCCCGTCTCAGATTCTTTGGTGGGCAGTTTTATTTTGGGAGGCTGGAGGTTCTTTAGAGATTTCATTTTGAGTGTAATGAAATTATGGAAAACTGTATGGATCTACACAAATGCAAATACAAACTACCGTCTAAGTATGGAATGTGTAAACATTTTGCTAGTGATCCTGAGTTATTTGTAGTTAAATACTCATTCTGGCTTTTCAATTGCTGGTATGTGATTGCATTTTAGGTCGGATTTGATTTCGTCACGGCTTATGACAAATAAGTAAACAAAAGCGTTCAATAAAACAACATTTTTTGGCGAGTAATTAAATTATAAAAATACAGCTTTCAGCGCATAATTGAACTTATCTAAATGGTAAAAAGTGTTGTCGAGCTATCTGGAATTGTGCAAGATAACCGGCTAATTATAAAAGAAGCTCAGAATTTTGTCTGATAAAAGTTCTGTAAAAAATTGTGTAATAACATCTACACTTTAAAATAGGTATCATCCGTGTCAAAACCAATAAAATAATCAAATGTGAATCACAGCATATCACTTCAGCGCTCGAGACCATTATTCTACCAAAATTAAAAATATGCTTCCCTGAGCACATTAACTATAAATTTAAATGTTCTCAAAAAAGAATACTGTACAGCAGTTAGCAGTACTGATCATTCCGACACAACTTGCAAAGAGTTCCGCTTCATACTACTAATATCCTGTTCAGAAGGTTCATTACCTCGCCTAGCTAAACACAAATATAACAGCCACTCAACTATCTTATAAATAGTTATCATGGAAATTCCCACAAACAGATCTAGAGTTCCACCCAACTCGCCAGTAAAGCTCCTCCAGTTATAGGCTGCAGTCTGTACCTCCTCGGTCGTCTTCATCACTTGCTTGTAAAATATCAGTTTCACCAAGTTTCTCTGAGCTTGTGCGAATGTTGTATAATGAGGAAATGACGCTGCCAGCTCGCTGTTCCAGAGTCTTAAACTAGGAAAGTTGCTGGATGATAACGTGTATGTTGTTTTATTATAAGAGCACGGCTCGTAACAATTCATGGGTTGCTGAGCGTTTTCCTCGGACATCATGGTGTCTATAACCATGTTCTCACACCACGCCTCCGTCGTAATATCACACTCCCCCAACTCCAGCGTGCAGTTTGTTTCTCCCCTCGTGACCCTGTACTCTAAATCCTCGCTTAACACAGCACTACTGTCAAACATCACACACTGTGCCACACCCCTGTTCTCCACGATAAAGGACTTAACCCACATGAAGACCACACAGTCCTCGTTTAACTTGCACTGGACAGCGCACAGTTCAGCAGTGAGAAGGGAGTCTAGTGATACTAGCTCCCCGCCACTGTACGAGTACTCATCTTCGTAGTAGCACGTGCTGTTGTCAAAGTTTATCCTATTCTCCTCCGGTATCTCCGTTGTGAAGTAGGTGTAGAGTTGGGATTCAAGTGCTGTGTCCCTCTCTTCTCCTGATTTCTTAAAGTGTCTGGCGTAAACGTACCAGGGGTAACATTTGCATTTGGGCTCGTTCATAAACTTCCAAAGCACTTGGCTGGTGAAACACTCTTTTGTAGTCAGATAATCTGTTATCTCCTCCTTCCCTTCTGCTCTGATCTTGAAGACGTCTTCTGTGTCCTGACAATCTCCGTAGGGAGCCTTCAACCTAGTCACTTGTGTCGTGTCAAGTTGGACAAACGTTTCCTTGCCAGGGCTGATCGCGAAGGCGTACTCCTTGCTGATAACTGTTTCATTTGGCATTCTCAGGACCACAAAGAACCCCTCAGCCTCGGTTTTGTCCACATAATCTTCTGTTCTAGCGTCCAGTATCATGGACAGACCCCCTATAGGGCCGTTAACACGCTGGATAAACAGCTGGTTATCATTAATCTCAAGGCAGTTTCCCATCTCTGTGAAATCCACATTGACGTATTCTGCCTGGGAAGTTTTTGGAACCTTTTCTTTTGCAAAGGTAAATGTTCCTCGATCGAGTGTTGATAATATGTCCCAACGGTAATTTCTCCTGATGTTCATTTTATTTATCATTTCATACGGAATATCTTTCCGCTCCTCCGTATCTGAATCAGAACGAACCTCATATTGATCCATAAGAGCTTGATACAAATAGTAGACAGTCATGTCTGGGGAATTCTTAACTCCTGCACTTGTGTTCTCCATCTTAGTACGGTTGATGAGGTTGATGTTACAGATTGAGATGGCAGGAAGGTAATACTCATCTGAGAACTGTGATGATATCTCCGTGTAGGAAGGGTAGGAGAGGTAGTCTCTAACCAGTTCCACAGCACAATACACCCCCAACACTAGCATCAGTAGGCCTACTATCGACCATATCAACTTTGGGAGAAAGTGTTTGTAGCTGAAGACAGAGCTCAAGTAGTCGTTAGATATCCCTTCAATCCTGAAATTGTGAATAGAGGGTTAGATATCCCTTCAATCCTGAAATTGTGAATAGAGGGTTAGATTTTGTAGCTGGAAGAAATTGAAGTGATAATAATCAGGTTCGGAAGACTCTTATTCATCACGCATTACATGTGAAAATGTAATGCGTGATGTATAAAAGTGCCTAAAACGTTAGGAATGTAGCTAGGAATATACTCACAATTTATTCCCTGCACCCATTCTACACTCCTGATATCCTGGTCAGGGTACCCTCTCTTTTAACTGTGCTATTTGGAGAAACTTCGTATTATTAGCTATTGTATCAGACGGTCACATTTTACAAAGTTACTAAAGGTGGACAAAGTGCAAAACAACTGGCCATAAGTTTGGGACTCTAGATTATAAAATGTACCTAAATAATTTACACAATACAGTGTCCATGTCTGAGCGGCTCTACTCAAAAACTTTCTCTCCTTGAAGCAGAAAAAATAATTACGATTATTCTAAGTTTGGTCTTGATGCTGCTACTTCTAAAGTAACGTACAAAGTAACAAAAATACACATTTTCTACGACCAACCATGTTTGCCTGAACAATTCTGATACATTAATAATATTCTGATACATTAATAACTTGCAATAATAATTATTGGAAAAAGATACCACTTAAACTGGGCGTTATTGAGTTATAACAGAATAGCTGTGTTGAACAGCCCATCACACAAACAAGTTGTTAAACCGAATAGTTGAAATGTACCACACAAACAAGTTGTTAAACCGAATAGTTGAAATGTACCACACAAACAAGTTGTTAAACCGAATAGTTGAAATGTACCACACAAACAAGTTGTTAAACCGAATAGTTGAAATGTACCACACAAACAAGTTGTTAAACCGAATAGTTGAAATGTACCACACAAACAAGTTGTTAAACCGAATAGTTGAAATGTACCACACAAACAAGTTGTTAAACCGAATAGTTGAAATGTACCACACAAACAAGTTGTTAAACCGAATAGTTGAAATGTACCACACAAACAAGTTGTTAAACCGAATAGTTGAAATGTACCACACAAACAAGTTGTTAAACCGAATAGTTGAAATGTACCACACAAACAAGTTGTTAAACCGAATAGTTGAAATGTACCACACAAACAAGTTGTTAAACCGAATAGTTGAAATGTACCACACAAACAAGTTGTTAAACCGAATAGTTGAAATGTACCACACAAACAAGTTGTTAGACCGAATAGTTGAAATGTATCACACAAACAAGTTGTTAAACCGAATAGTTGAAATGTACCACACAAACAAGTTGTTAAACCGAATAGTTGAAATGTACCACACAAACAAGTTGTTAGACCGAATAGTTGAAATGTACCACACAAACAAGTTGTTAGACCGAATAGTTGAAATGTATCACACAAACAAGTTGTTAGACCGAATAGTTGAAATTTATCACACAAACAAGTTGTTAGATCGAATAGTTGAAATGTATCACACAAACAAGTTGTTAGACCGAATAGTTGAAATGTATCACACAAACAAGTTGTTAGACCGAATAGTTGAAATGTATCACACAAACAAGTTGTTAAACCGAATAGTTGAAATGTATCACACAAACGACAAACAAGTTGTTAAACCGAATAGTTGAAATGTATCACACAAACGACAAACAAGTTATTAAACCGAATAGTTGAAATGTACCACACAAACGACAAACAAGTTATTAAACCGAATAGTTGAAATGTACCACACAAACGACAAACAAGTTGTTAAACCGAATAGTTGAAATGTACCACACAAACGACAAACAAGTTGTTAAACCGAATAGTTGAAATGTATCACACAAACGATAAAGTTAACAAAAGCTAGGGCCCAAGTGAGTATAGCACAAGTAGGCACTAGGCATTAGTCCTGCAAAGCGAACAACATAGGAAGATGCCGGAAACAGATTGGGACGTTAAACTCATTCATATATTTACAACTGTATACAATGGTACGTGTTTGGTGGGGAATGTGTGTAATGACGTCTAGTGTGTAATGACGTGTAGTGAGGGAAACTCGTTTCTAAAACGTCCTTCGTCAAACGTACAACCCTATAACTCTACAGTCTAAACTTAACGAACTACAGTATTCACGAAGCTCCATAGTGCTTCAGGGGCGTGCGCACCCCTCTGTAGTGCTTATCACGTCTCACCTTTCAATTAGACCCAATTAAGTGATGTAAAATAACGGGAAGCTGTAATCTCTGGAGATGTCACGTGACCTCATAAAGTGGGTCTAACAGTGTGGTTTAGTGACTCAGCCCGGTCTAGTTAGTGATAAGTACTGTTGCAAAACTGAGGCTTTACTACACAGTACACATTGATACTCAGTTTAGTTTCATATAATCAACTGTGTAGCTAATTGAGGAATATGAATATGTTGAAATACTGGAGCTGTAACTAAAGTGTAACGACCACAAATACTGGAGCTGTAACTAAAGTGTAACGACCACAAATACTGGAGCTGTAACTAAAGTGTAACGACCACAAATACTGGAGCTGTAACTAAAGTGTAACGACCACAAATACTGGAGCTGTAACTAAAGTGTAACGACCACAAATACTGGAGCTGTAACTAAAGTGTTACGACCACAAATACTGGAGCTGTAACTAAAGTGTAACGACCACAAATACTGGAGCTGTAACTAAAGTGTAACGACCACAAATACTGGAGCTGTAACTAAAGTGTAACGACCACAAATACTGGAGCTGTAACTAAAGTGTAACGACCACAAATACTGGAGCTGTAACTAAAGTGTAACGACCACAAATACTGGAGCTGTAACTAAAGTGTAACGACCACAAATACTGGAGCTGTAACTAAAGTGTAACGACCACAAATACTGGAGCTGTAACTAAAGTGTAACGACCACAAATACTGGAGCTGTAACTAAAGTGTAACGACCACAAATACTGGAGCTGTAACTAAAGTGTAACGACCACAAATACTGGAGCTGTAACTAAAGTGTAACGACCACAAATACTGGAGCTGTAACTAAAGTGTAACGACCACAAATACTGGAGCTGTAACTAAAGTGTAACGACCACAAATACTGGAGCTGTTACTAAAGTGTAACGACCACAAATGCCACAACAATAATACGATATGATGCTTGTCAAAACAACGCACAGAATCGTGCCTGGTCCTCTTGTTTGCTTGCGTCCGTTGTGCACTTGAATGATAATAATACTGTGAGAGTACAGACAGCATTGCTCTTACACTGCTATATTGCTTATCGTTACACGCATGTCGCATATTCCAACAATTCCATTGAATATGTGACGCTGCTTGTCAGGTAGAACTAAGCTTAATTTATATGAGAGATTGAAATCTGGCTGTTAGACATATATACACAAATCTTCCTAATTCACACAAGCAATAAGCCTACGGATCAGAAGGAAAACAACTTAAAGCTTTGGAAAACAGTTTTAACTTCTGACGAGTGGAACAGAATGAAAAAGCAGCATTGTTCTGAAGATAATAACAACTTATATCAACTACCTACATAAAGATCTACTTAACTAGCAATTTACACTCACCCTCCACCATATAAACATGCCGGACACTGTGTATACGTGTCGGATAGTGACAGGAGACTGTTTATATACACGGAATGTATAGTTGTCTTTGTAAAGCCATGCTAATACCGTTACGCGAAGTAGCCAAGGTCCAAAGTTACACGTTCACCAAAAATGGATCACTATTATCTATTGTCCTAAATTCATAGGCCATAGCTTTAGGCTATCTAACCTTTCTACCACAGACAACCTCATTTACACTTCGTCTCGTAACCAGTCATTAGTGAACGTCTTCCTGATCAATAACCTGATCTATAAACGTCAATAATCAGACAACGATTGAGTTTTAAAAAGTTCCATCTATCTCTGTATAGATACAGAGATAAGATATGTGTGTTATCTCTGTCTACTCGCTATAGATACAGAGATAAGATAGGTATGTTATCTGTCTACTCGCTAGTCGCTATAGATACAGAGATAAGAAACGTCTACTCGCTATAGATACAGAGATAAGAAACGTCTACTCGCTATAGATACAGAGATAAGATAGGTATGTTATCTGTCTGCTCGCTATAGATACAGAGATAAGATAGGTATGTTATCTGTCTACTCGCTATAGATACAGAGATAAGATATGTATGTTATCTGTCTGCTCGCTATAGATACAGAGATAAGATAGGTATGTTATCTGTCTACTCGCTATAGATACAGAGATAAGATAGGTATGTTATCTGTCTACTCGCTATAGATACAGAGATAAGATAGGTATGTTATCTGTCTACTCGCTATAGATACAGAGATAAGATAGGTATGTTATCTGTCTACTCGCTATAGATACAGAGATAAGATAGGTATGTTATCTGTCTACTCGCTATAGATACAGATATAAGATAGGTATGTTATCTGTCTACTCGCTATAGATACAGAGATAAGATAGGTATGTTATCTGTCTACTCGCTATAGATACAGAGATAAGATAGGTATGTTATCTGTCTACTCGCTATAGATACAGAGATAAGATAGGTATGTTATCTGTCTACTCGCTATAGATACAGAGATAAGATAGGTATGTTATCTGTCTACTCGCTATAGATACAGAGATAAGATAGGTATGTTATCTGTCTACTCGCTATAGATACAGAGATAAGATAGGTATGTTATCTGTCTACTCGCTATAGATACAGAGATAAGATAGGTATGTTAGCTGTCTACTCGCTATAGATACAGAGATAAGATAGGTATGTTATCTGTCTACTCGCTATAGATACAGAGATAAGATAGGTATGTTATCTGTCTACTCGCTATAGATACAGAGATAAGATAGGTATGTTATCTGTCTACTCGCTATAGATACAGAGATAAGATAGGTATGTTATCTGTCTACTCGCTATAGCTACAGAGATAAGATAGGTATGTTATCTGTCTACTCGCTATAGATACAGAGATAAGATAGGTATGTTATCTGTCTACTCGCTATAGATACAGAGATAAGATAGGTATGTTATCTGTCTACTCGCTATAGATACAGAGATAAGATAGGTATGTTATCTGTCTACTCGCTATAGTACAGAGATAAGATAGGTATGTTATCTGTCTACTCGCTATAGATACAGAGATAAGATAGGTATGTTATCTGTCTACTCGCTATAGATACAGAGATAAGATAGGTATGTTATCTGTCTACTCGCTATAGTACAGAGATAAGATAGGTATGTTATCTGTCTACTCGCTATAGATACAGAGATAAGATAGGTATGTTATCTGTCTACTCGCTATAGATACAGAGATAAGATAGGTATGTTATCTGTCTACTCGCTATAGATACAGAGATAAGATAGGTATGTTAGCTGTCTACTCGCTATAGATACAGAGATAAGATAGGTATGTTATCTGTCTACTCGCTATAGATACAGAGATAAGATAGGTATGTTATCTGTCTACTCGCTATAGATACAGAGATAAGATAGGTATGTTATCTGTCTACTCGCTATAGATACAGAGATAAGATAGGTATGTTATCTGTCTACTCGCTATAGATACAGAGATAAGATAGGTATGTTATCTGTCTACTCGCAGGTATCAGGTTGTCACAAGCACACGGGGAAGTTAACGAGCAAGTCTCTAGAGTACCTGTTCAGTGAGTCCAGTCACCTTCAGTTCCTTAACATTGAGTTCCAGAGAGGTGGGTTCTTTATAATTACTTTATAATTACTTTATAATTACTTTATAATTACTTTCTACTTTCTATGTAATTGTTAAATTCTTCATTGGAGGCTTCGGAGCCGAACGACATTATCTATTTGAGCTTTAGAGAGACCAGGTGTTTGGGCCGTCACAGTCTAACAACCAATGTACTGTTTTTTTTATTTGAAACTTTTACAAAATAGCAAGTATACAAATGTACAGCAATTCGAACAAACATAAAAAATGGGCCGAAATGTATAAATGCTAAAAAGCGTGGGAAAAAGTACAAAGGACAACTTTCAGAACAGGAGTCTTTTAGCCGCCCAAAGTCTCAATAACATCACCTCCTCCACCTAATAATAAAATTATGAAATGTGAAAAGTGTGAAACAATCAAATAATAATGTACGGGTGTAAGGCTGTCAGAATGATGCGGCTGTCAGAATGAAGTTTTTATTAAAGATCAAATTACTTTGTTAGAAACTTTATTTTGTGCATATTAAACAGGTTTGCATATACTAAAAACACAAATAAACACTTCCATCACTGAAAGAAAGGCTAAAAATGATTTATTACTGAAATATTTTGAAATACACTTTCAAGTTTTGACATTGCATAAATATGAGGCAGTTTTGTGATCTTGTTGTTAAAGTTATCCCTATAAGACCTGGTACTCAGGTACTGGTGTATCAAACAACTCTAAAAGAATGCATTCATACCCTAAAAAACCCTCAATAAACATGTGTTAACAAATTAAAACAGAAAATTCAAACGGCTGTCAGAATGATGGTATGGCGGCTGTCAGAATGATGGTATTCTGCATTCAAAAAAAGTTGATCAAAAACATCAGAAACAACCGATACATAAAAGAATGTGTTTATTTGTGTTTTTAGTATATGCAAACCTGTTTAATATGCCCAAAATCAAGTTTCTAACAAATAAAAGTAATTTGATCTTTGATAAAAACTTCATTCTGACAGCCGCATCATTCTGACAGCCGTACACCCGTAGATAGTCAGTATAACATATTGCACAACTTTTCAAACATTTAAACATCCAAACAAAGCTGGGAAGAATTGCAACTACACTAACTGAACACTAACAGAACAATCCACGGTTACAAGCTCTCTCTCATAACTGCTTGACAATAACATGCAATAATTGGGATTCTAGTGCAGTTGTAGTGTGTAAAAGGGCCAGCATTGGAAATTGTAGTGTGTAAAAGGTCATACTTGTCAATTAGTTCATACACACAGCTAACATAGCTCCTAGAAATACCTCACAGCCCAATATATAAAATTTAAAAGTGTACTATTATTATATTCAATACGGCTGTCAGAATGAAGGTTTTCTAAATTGCGATTATTGACTTATACAAAAATTCCAGGAATGTTTGATTTGGGTAGAATAACGCTGCAGATATGTGTTAATAATGATAGAGGGTCTAAAAAGATTCCTAGAGCCATGATGGAAAAATGGGGACAACTTTGTTTTGGAAAACTTCATTCTGACAGCCGCAGTCTTCCTTCTGTGTTGTATAATTCCCCAAGAATAGTGATTTAGTTGACAACAGAGGTGATATGGTATTGATGTATAATATATCTAACTGCCTGCAAGTCCAATAAACCAAAAAGTTTTATTTTGGTAATGTAGGCCTCAAAATACAAAACTTCATTCTGACAGCCGTAGTCTAAAAAGGGGTATATTTCATGCCGATTTTTTCCCCTTTTACTGGCAAATTTTAACAATTCCAAACCCCGGGAAGAAAACTTTCCCTAGTTTTTAGGTGTTTTTACAGATAACGTCCGTAAACTCTTAAAATACTCCTACAAACTTACATATTATACTGATCGGTGTCCGAGAAACATGAATTACGTAATCATGGTGTCTTCTTAACACGGCTACAGACCTTCCCGTTACGGATGTAGTGGTCGAGATGAGTCTGTTCAGCCCTCTTATTCTTCAGGTCAGTTACCACGTTTTTCCTTGCTGCACGCTTTTCACTGGATCTATCAGGACAGATCCCTACATCTTTGTGTGCATCAGCCATCCTCAGTCTCCTTGTTTTCATCAGAATCTGATGAACTGCTGTTGAGCTTGGGACGGTGATCTTGACTGGTCGGATAGCCGTACTACCTGGCCTCTTCCAGCCGACTCTTTTCGCTTCGAAATGAGGATTCTCCCCGATCTCCTCCAATACTGCGGTTACCAGAGCTGGAAGCTGTTCTTCATCCTCTTCTTTCAGTCTAAACACTATCAGATTCTTGCTCCTGTCCTCCTCATCAGCCACACTCTTCATTACATTCTTCAGAATTTTACTGTTGCAGACCGCGCCACTTGTGCTGTTCTTTTGTACAGCTGCACTGTAGCTCTTAATCCCTGTCTCCACCGACCACCGTTGTTTGTACTGTCTCTTCAACTGACGTCTTAAACAACTGTAGTTGTTCGTCCTTCTGCACTAGCAACTGGTCCTGCAATCTGACAATCTTTTCCTTGTCTGCTAGTGCTTCCGTCTTGAGGCACTCAACGATTTCCATCATAGCGCTCATCTGACTACTCTGCCGTCGTACGAGGTCTGCTGCTTGCATAACCCAGTTTGCCATATACCTTTTATAGATAGATGGAGACATGAATATTTCTTGGTCCATATTTCCACGAATTTTGAAGTTGTCTAATTTCAGTTCTCTTGCCATCGGAGTGAACCATCTATCAGCACAGCCCTCTACATCTTCCTTTTCTTCATAGTTGAAATCCTTGAGTTTCTTCTGAGATCGGGGTCAAATTTAAATCATCCTCCTTGGTGTACATTGTATAGTAAATGTACTGTACAAGTATACACACGCTAAGGCTAACTACGCGGTAGCAGCAAACTGAACTTATCGCTAAGTTACAAAAGATAAGAGAGCTCGATAATTGCAACGTAAGCTACACAGACGTAAGCTACTACACTAAAACATTCAAACTACTACAACATTCAAATTACTACAATATTCAAACTACTAAAACATTCAAACTACTACAAGAATCAAACAATTTTTTTAAACACGTCAAGCGAGCTATTTATTTGATAAATTGATCTCAGTTATAGTTTTACAGTAGTTATAGTAATTGTATTCCAGAGCCCAAACAATGCAAACTAAAAGTGTAATGACGGAAGTAAAATGAGCTGTGCATTCTATGGCCATGATAGCTCATATAATTTGACGCGCGGTTTCCATGTAGCGTCTTTATTCTTTAAAGTTAATTAAATGATATGCGGCTCGGGCAGTGTAAACTGTAGTATAGCGGTACTGTGTTAAAAGATTGGTGTTCAGATCAAGTAACTACTGGGAACTACTAATTGTCCCTTGTCATTGTATACGTATATCACACCTGTTTACTCTATTAGTAAATTACATTTAAGTCTATGTAAACTTCTTACGATTCAATTCACTCTGGCCTGGCCTGGTCACTTCAAGAAAAATTCAACCAATATTATTTTTATAAATCAGCCAACTCACAGTTTACCGTAGGTAGACACTACATACTCAGCGACGTTTTTACCCAATAATTGCACCAAAACCCCGAACTTTTCCAGAAATAAGCGCAGAGATACTGGCCCGATTGAAACGACGACGCCCAGCGTTGGTCACGTGCGACGTTTACACGAACGAGAAGCGAACTGCTGACAGTCAGATGCAACACATGATTAGACAACTTACAGAGCTTACTCCAAGCGAAGGGGGCGAGATCATCTACAGGTAATAGTCAGAGAAATTGTTAATTTGGTTTTGCTACCTTGATCTCCGGCGAAAATGACCCTCTGGCAGCTTTACAAAAATGTTTGATGTTATTTTATCAAACTTGCTGACTAGACTAGCTATATTAGCAAAACAATTTAAGGTTTTTCCATTTTTGATAGCATCTTCGAGTCATGATCTTGTGCTCTCTTAAAAACTAAAACAACTAGCGGTAAGCCCTAACTATTTTGAGACACTTAAAACGTAACCAAAATAATGTAACCAGCCACTTATCTCTGCAATATAAGCTTGTAAGGAGTACGGGACACAAACGCGTGCTTCAGTGACTCAAAACCGTTTAAATGTTCGTATTAAATATTAATCATATTGCTGGTTGAGTTGTGGTGAGGGCTATGTTTTGAAACTTATAGAATTATACAGCAATGTCTAAGGTTGAAGAGAACAACGTGGCTCTTCAGAACCGTTTTGATTGTCTGGCTAATGAGGTCAACCTTGAAGACATGTGGGATAATTTCAAACGATAATTACGTGCGCCAAACACCACTTTGGGATGCAATATAAGTAAAACAATTACATTGTAGGGAAATTTGATCGTGCGTGGTGTAACCGCGGCGAAATTTTTGTTTGTTAGTAAGTTTTTATCGCATCAAAAAATATCCTACACAACCGAAGATACAGCCGATTAAAATGTTGCTCGTATTAAACACAACGTAATTACCGCAAAACCGATCAAAATGACGTTAAAACAATCATTGCACGTGCGTGTAATAACCCTCGTTACCATGGTTACTATGCAACTTCCTATTTCTCATCTGATTTGCACGTGGGCGGTCGTACATACATACATTCTACCAAAAGAATCTTTCGAATTATTATACAGAAATAATCTTTCGAATTATAAGTAAGATAATACATAATATTATACGCCATACATATAAAATCGTGGTGCAAATTTTCTTGTCATATTAATACCAGTCCGGTTAAAACGTTTCCTAAAATTACTTAAGTATCAAAAGAGTTAAACTATGTACTTATAATATAGTTAAACTACTATATAATAATATAACAAGAGAGTTGATGGCGTCTGTTTCAGTTCAGTATTATAGTTAAACTACTATATAATAATATAACAAGAGAGTTGATGGCGTCTGTTTCAGTTCAGTATTATAGTTAAACTACTATATAATAATATAACAAGAGAGTTGATGGCGTCTGTTTCAGTTCAGTATCAGAGAGTAGTGATGACGACAACTTGAACATCAGTGCAGCTGACAGGATGAGCAAGGAGGCAGACGAGGTAACCCGACTCTTCGACCAATTATTATTTATTTTATTAATTTACTTTGTACTATTTTGATAAAAGGTGCTATAAGCTATACCTGAGACTATGTTTGATAATCTGTCTTCCTTATTGTTTAAATGTTTAAACTCCTAAAGAAACAGTTAACAGAATCGCAACTTTAATACTTTAATAGTTTTATCATTTCACACACCGGCAAATTTATTTGCAAACAAAAATAATCATACCTGTTTTGACTTTTAAAATTATTTCAGTTGATCATGAGGTTCAGTCCAGAGTGTGCGTTTGCAATTGGAGCGGGAGGTAAAGCAGTACCGTTAGCTAATATAGAGGAGGAGGAGGGGGAGGGGTTCGGGGGGTTCTCTGTGTCTGAGTGCGATGAGCTCTTGCAGCAAGGTGGGAACTTGTGACACATTGTTTAAATCTATTCGGAAATAAATGTTATTACTTATTATTACTATTTCCCTTATTTTTGCATAATTTATTCCTTTAAGTCCTTTATCAACCTTTTTTAGTGAGCCACAGTGCCTCAAATATCTCCAGATATCGCTGGTATGAGTTTCGCTGATTGAAGATCACATGATTGATCATGTGGCTATTCCAGGAGTGAAGCCGTGGGAAGAGGACGCTGCAGCCGTCCTGGGAGTCCTCAACGGGGATTGGGCAGATCTGAGCTGATGGGTGAAACCACGGCAACCAAAAGATGTGCGTGTACGTGTGTTATCAAACATGATCTCTATTAACTTATTAGCAGACTATAAGACTATGTAAAATTAGCTTTTAAATTGGTGTTCAAAACAGAGTCTATTTATGGGTTTAGGATTTTGAACGTATTTTTCAAGAAATGATTTCGACTCTCCCTCTCGTTCAACTTGTAATTGATTGATATGTGATATGTATGCTTTCTTTTAATCAAGTTGATGCGATAAACGGTGTTCTTTGACAGTGGACACACAGTGGGTTACCTTAAAACATTGTGCTGACTGACTTTTTTATCGCATGAAAATTTTAATAACTTATTACAAGTTAGTTAACTCAACAAGTGAACGGATAAGCTGAATTACATAATTAGATAAGAATCTTACATTCATTGTTTGAATACCATAAAATACTTTATCTCTTAGATGTTTTATGCACTTTAATAGTTTATACCTGATATGGAACCACATTTTTTACTTTAACCATTACAAGATTCTCGTTCTTCTGAACACCGAGGTATATAATTAATATATGATGAATTTTAGTTGTGTTAGGAAACCGATAGTTTGAATTGTATGTGGTTAGTTTGGGGACCCCATTTTGTAAAAATAGTGATTAAAATGCTGGTTTTATTGATTTAATTTGGCATATGTTTTCTGGTCCTTTCCTAGGAAGTTTTGCTGTGATTGATTGTCATTTAACCTTTCAAGTAGTTACATTCCGGCACTCTGGATCTTAGCGTTCTCTGAATTTCTGCATTCAAGCACTCTGAACCAACCCACTGCATGAGTACACACTACACACTACACGGGGGGCTCGTCACAAACTATTTCACATTCAACCCTCAACCTCACCAAATAATTTATTGGTAGAACTGATTCCTAAAACCCTTTGAGAATATACACTATACAGGCTTCACCAGAACTAACTATGTGACAGGATTTTGACGAGCTGAACAAACCTTTGGTTTACATTAAATGTCACATTGCAAAGTTGTAAAGTCGAATCTGGCCCACCAATTGATATAGATTTCTGGAGTGCTAAGGGGTCGTTCACATATTACGTAATCAACCGAGGGAGGAGGGGGGTTTCCAAATTATTACGCTATTGTAATTTTGACACAATACTTATGTGTAAAACTGATTACGGAGGGGGGGTTAGAAATTGTCCAAAAAGTGATTTCGTAATATACGAACGACCCCTAATATTGCTAAGAAAGAGGGTTTGTATTTGTGCCAGCGATTAAAATACCTTATCGGTCTTAAACTGGACTTTTTTATGGTTGAACACCAGATCTTTCGTTCAAACAATTTTAATTTCATTTTATCTAGAAACTGATTGAGCGCGATGCACATGTTATTGTACATGTTGAGTAATATAATTAACCCTAAAGATGAAGCAACAGAATCGGGCCGATAAGGTAATATATAGTACCGGTGTATCGTATACTGTATAATTTATTTACCTAACTTATAGCGGGTTTGATTGGAAATTTCAAAAAGATATTTAAGTATTTTATTTGACCATTTTCAGGAAAAATTTTCAAAAAGATATTTAAGTACTATATTTGACTTTTTCAAGAACACCTATCGTAAAAGCATTTCTTACATATGTTCAAATATGTATATTAGCTTGAGGACATAAATTCGATGATCTTGAAGCTTTATTTTATACTCTTTTGAAATAAAGTTAATCTTATTAATTAATAGGGATATCGTTGTTTCACTTAGTAATAGTAGGTCAGTAGACCAATATTCAAATACCTGGCTGAAATTAAAATCTTCATGGGAATCTCCTTTTTGTATTGGTGCTAGTTATATTGGTGCTAAGTATAGTGAATTCAATCCCGATCAAAATATTCAATTCCGGAATTCCGACAGCCAGGTAGCTCAGTTGGTTAGAGCGCAGTTCTTAGAACGCCAGCAATCGTGAGGTTGCAAGTTCAATACCCGCTGTCTACCTAGTCGTGGGGTGAGCGTCGTCGACGTTCTGCTAAGGATCCCATAGGATATATGCAGCCTCCCGGTCCACCCAGCCAAATGCTCGAGAAATCGTGTGTGAGGGTTAAATGGGGAGCTGTGCAATATAGTACAGCGAAAAAGCAAAAAACTCAATGGATGGTTACCGTAATGGGTGCCACATGCCTAGCATGAAATATTTACCTACTTACTTGCACTTGTGTAGGTCTGTAGAAGCATTAGAATCGGGCGTTGCCTGCCACAGGCTATCCCGAATTTAGAAGCTTGCTTTCATCAATTCCGACCAAAAATAATCCCGGGATTCCCAAAAATCGGGGATTTCCGAAAGCAAATATTTGTGAAATAAAGTCATTTTCAATTTCATGCCCAAAATTTAAATTAAATTTTTTATTGCAGTTCATCGAATATTCTAAAATTTGCAACTATAAAACAAATATTTTTGATAAGGATTTCTCCTCCTCATTTCTCCTCCTCCTTATCGTCCTTTTCAGTCCTCCTACTCATCCTCCTCCTCATCCTCCTCTTTATCAGTCCTCCTCCTCCTCAGTCGTCCTCAACCTCTTCCCCCTCCTCCTCAGTCCTCCTCCTCCTCCTCCTCCTCCTCCACCTCTTCCTCCTCCACCTCCTCCTCCTCCTCCTCATCCTCCTCCTCCTCCTCCTCATTTGTCCTCCTCCTTTTCGTCCTTCTCAGTCCTCCTACTCATTCTCCTCCTCATCCTCCTCTTTATCAGCCCTACTCCTCCTCAGTCCTCCTCAACCTCTTCCCCCTCCTCCTCAGTCCTCCTCCTCCACCTCCTCCTCCTCCTTCTCCTCCTCCTCCTTCTCCCCTCCTCACCATCCTCCTCATCAGTCCTCCTCCTCAGTTCTTCTCCTCCTTATCATCCTTCTCAGTCCTCCTACTCATCCTCCTCCTCGTCCTCATCTTAATCAGTCCTCCTCCTTACGGACATATCATTTAGATGCTTCCTCCCCCTCCTTCTCCCCTCCTCCCCCTCCTCCTTCTCCTCCTTCCCCTCCTCCTCCTCTTTAGTCCTCCTCCTCAGTTCTTCTCCTCCTTATCATCCTTCTCAGTCCTCCTACTCATCCTCGTCCTCGTCCTCATCTTAATCAGTCCTCCTCCTTACGGACATATCATTTAGATGCTTCCTCCCCCTCCTTCTCCCCTCCTCCCCCTCCTCCTTCTCCTCCTTCCCCTCCTCCTCCTCTTTAGTCCTCCTCCTCAGTCCTCCTCCTCCTCAGTCCTCCTCATCCTCAGTCCTCCTCATCCTCCTCCTCCTCGTCCTCCACAGTCCTCCTCAACCTCCTCCTCTTCAGTCCTCCTAGTCATCCTCCTCCCCTCAGTCCTCCTCAGTCATCACATGTACAATACCTTCTCAGTCCTCCTTCTCCCCATCCTCATCAAAAACGGACTAAAACGGACAAAAACTGTTACGATAATAACATTTAAATCCTCCTTCCCCCCTCCTTCTCCTCCTCCTCCTCCTCCTCCTCTTCCTCCTCCTCCTCCTCCTCCTCCTCCTCCTCCTCCTCAGTTCTTCTCCTCCTTATCATCCTTCTCAGTCCTCCTCCTCCTTCTCCTTCTCCTCCTCCTCCTCCTCAACCTCTTCCCCCTCCTCCTCAGTCCTTCTTTTCCTCAGACCTTCTCAACCTTCTCCTCTCCAGTCCTCCTACTTTTCCTCCTCCTCCTCAGTCCTCGCATGTACAGTACATTCTCAGTCCTCCTTCTCCCCACCCTCATCCTCCTCTTCCTCCTCAAAAACGGACAGAAACGGACGTAAATCGACATAAACGGACATGAACGGACAAAAACTGTTACGATAATAACATTTAGATCCTCCTTCTCCCCTCCTCACCCTCCTCCTCATCAGTCCTCCTCCTCAGTTCTCCTCCTCCTTAACATCCTTCTCAAGCTTCCTACTCATCCTCCTCCTCATCCTCCTCCTTATCAGTCCTCCTCCTCAGTCCTCCTCTACCTCTTCCCCCTCCTCCTCAGTCCTCCTTTTCCTCAGACCTTCTCAACCTCCTCCTCTCCAGTCCTCCTACGCATCCTCCTCCTCCTCAGTCCTTCTCAGTCCTTGCATGTACACTGTACAGTACATTCTCAGTCCTCCTTATCCCCACCCTCATCCTCCTCCTCCTCAAAAACGGACAGAAACAGACGTAAATGATCATAAACGGACAAAAACTGTTACGGAAATAACATGTAGATGCTTCCTCCTCCTTTCCCCTCCTCCCTTTCCTCTTCCTCAGTCCTCCTCCTCCTAAGTCCTCCTCCTCAGTCCCCCTCCTCAGTCATCGTTCTCAGTCCCCCTCCTCCCCATCCTCATCCTCTTCCTCCTCAGTCCTCCTTCTCCTCAGTCATTCTCCTTCTCCTCCTCCTTTTCCTCCTCAGTCCTCTTCCTTTTCAGTCCTACTGATCCTCCTCAGTGTTCGTACTCCTCAGTCCCATTCCGTCCTTCTTTTCCTCTTTATCCTCCTCCTCCCCAGTTCTCCCCTCCTCCACTTCTTCCTCAGTCCTCCTCTTCCTCAGTCCTCCTCCTCTTCAGTCATCCTCTACCTCCTCAGTCCTTGTATGTACGACACATTCTCAGTTCTACTCTTCTTCAGTTTTCTCCCTTCTCTTCCCCCTTCTCCTCCTCAGTCCTCAATCCTTATTCTCCTCCTCAGTCTTTCTCAGTCCTCCTCCTCTTCTTCGGTCCTTCTACTCATCCTTCTCCTCTTCCTCTTTATCCTCCTCCTCACCAGTTCTCCTCCTCCTTTACCTCTTACTCAGTCCTCCTCTTCCTCAGTCATCCTCTTCCTCCTCAGTAATTGTATGTACGGCACATTCTCGGTTCTACTCTTCTTCAGTTCTTCCCCTTCTCTTCCTCCTTCTCCTCCTCAGGCCTCAATCCTCATCCTCCTCCTCAGTCTTTCTCAGTCCTCCTCCTCCTCCTCCCCCTCTTCGGTCCTCCTACTCATCCTCCTCCTCTTCCTATTCATCCTCCTCCTCCCCAGTCCTCCTCCTCCTCCATCTCTTCCATGGTCCTCCTCTTCTTCTGTCCTCCTCCTCCTCTGTCCTTGTATGTGCGACACATTCTCAGTTCTACTCTTCTTCAGTTCTCTCCCTTCTCTTCCTCTTCCTCTTCCTCCTCCTCCTCCTCCTTCTCAATCCTCATCCTCATCCTCAGTCTTTCTCAGTCCTCCTCCTCCTCCTCTTCAGTCCTCCTACTCATCCTCCTCCTCTTCTCTTCATCCTCCTTCTCCCCAGTCCTCCTCCTCCTCCACCTCTTCCTCGGTCCTCCTCTTCTTCAGTCCTCCTCCTCCTCAGTCCTTGTATATAAGACACATTCTCAGTTCTACTCTTCCTCTGTCTTCTTCCTCCTCTTCCTCCTCCTCCTCCTCAATCCTCATCCTACTACTTATACTCGGTCCTCCTCAGTCCTCCTCCTCCTCCTCCCCAGTCCTCATCCTCCTCAGTCCTCCCCCTTCTCCTCAGTCCTCCTCCTCCTCTTCCTTCTCCTCAGTCCTCCTTCTCCACAGTCCTCATTGTCCTTCTCCTCTTCTTCCTCCTCAGTCCTTCTCCACTTCCACCTCCTCCTCCTCCTCAGTCCTCCTTCTCCTCAGTCCTCCTCAGTCCTCCTCAGTCCTCCTCAGTGCCGTCTTCCTCCTCAGTACTCCTCCTCCTCATTTTCTAAAAACGGACAAAATCGAACGGACAAAAACAAACATGAGCCCTGAAATCTCTCTGAAAATTATATTAATGATATATTTGTGTAAC